GTAGTGCGTCCTGCACTTGTCATCGTAGCACTGCATCCATGCCATGTATTTGTGGTGTGGGTGATGCGGGTAACTCCTACAAGAACACTGTAGGTCCCAACATGGGCACGTTGTTCCCCATCCATCCACGCTCTTTGGCATTTTTGGCGAGTATCCTGACGCTGCCTTTTCTGCGTCATGCAGTCGGCAATGTTTGTCGTAGCACACTATCCATGGTAGTTCCTTGTGCCGTGGGTGCGTCCTAAAATGGGCACATAAGCACCATTCATAGTCGCAGTATCCATGTGGGTTGGAACGTCGTTTGTGCTCGAGTTTCGCGAGTTCGTCATGGTACCAGGTGTTGTCTTTCTGACACTGCGCGCACCATGTTCCTGAATGTTGCGCGTGCTTCCATCGGTGTGTTTCCCATGATTCGTTGGTTTTTTCCCAGCATTCTAGGTTCCAGTGGGTGCAATCCCTGACCCTGCTGCGGATGTTTGCCTCGATGGCTCCGTTGAGCTCTTTGATTCTGTTGGTCACAATTGATTGCTTCCTTAGCTTGACCAATGCTCGTGCGACGTCCCGTGCGTCGGCTTCTTCGCAATATCCTTCTGCGGTTTTCTCTGGTTCTAGGGGATTTTGAGGTGTATCAGTCTCTAAGCTCAGCCTTGGGCCTCTCGCTTGAGTACCGAATTCTTCGTCGAGCGGATCGATATCGTCCCAGACTATACTAGGAAATTCGTCCTTTTCGACTGGCTCATTTGTGCTGATGGCTTTATCGGACCCATCCGTTCTTGCGTGGAATTTGTCGCTTCCGCTGTTGGACTCCACCGTCCCTTTCTCTTCGTTAGGATGGCTTTGATCCTCTATGTCGTAGTCGTTGTCGTCGCTCCACCAATGATCGCTTAGATCCGTGGGTTCGTTTGACCAATCGATTTCGTAGGTTGCGCATAATTTCTTGGCTGGTGGGTCCGCCTTGGACCTTTTGCCCTTATCGCTGTTCTGAGCACCTTTGGCTCCTTCACGGGTAGCCTTCAACTGCTTCCTTGGTTCCCTATTGTTGTTTTTCTGTTGTTGGCCCGATCGGCATTCCCTTGCCATGTGGCCTTGTTTTCCGCAATTGTAGCATGCTCTGTCGTTTCGACGTCGTTCCCTTTCTTCCTTAGGGATTTCTCGGTGTTGAGCTGCGTCTAGCTCCATTGGTTGTAGCCCATAAGGATCGCTGTATCCTTGGCTCTTTGGCTGCGCTTGTCGTTTATCATTGGCGTTGTACTGACTTGTTCTCTGGTTGCCTTGGTACCTGTTGCCTGACTGATTTTTGCGCCTAATGTTGAAGTCGAATAACTTGTTGTCGATCTTAACTGCTTGTTCGATCATCTTGCTGAGGGTTCCTGGCCGTTCCATCCAGATCAGTTTCTCTTGAACTTCTGGTTTGAGCCCTTCCTCGAATCGTGCAATATAGGTGTCGTCATCCCAATCCAACTGAGATATGACCTGCTGAAATTCTGAAGCATACTGGCTGACTGATTTGAACTGTCGTAGTCGCCACAATCTTCGTTCTGCGTTTCGAACCGCATCGATGTCCCCGAATGTCGTACGGAGTCGTTCCTTGAAGTTGTTATAGCTCTTGAACACTTCTTTGGTTTCGTCGCCTCGATCGTTTTCGGTGTTGTCCTGGAAGTCCCTGATGTAGGGTTCGAACCAATCGAACGCTGGACCCTTCAGGTACGTGGCGGCGAATACAATTTTGTCGGATTCGGCGGCGAGTCTCTCTCCGTTCATCTTCATGTACATGTCCATTTGCGTTAGGAATGCACGAAGCTTAGAACGAGTGCCGTCGAATGCCTCTGGTGGTTTAACCTTGACAGTGCGGGTCGCAAGTCGCCCCTCTAAGGTTGCGATATGCGCCTGCAGTTGCTCGATCATGCCAACGACATCTGCTGGGGTTGGTCCTGCGCTGGCGTCTCCCTGACTGCTTCCACTGCTAGTCCTAGGGGTTGGCGCGGCCGTTCTGTTGTTGTTTGACATGATGGTGTTTCGATTTGTTTTTAAGTTAACCCAAGACTCTACTCGTGCTAACTGGCGTTCAATGTGTCAAGACCCTAGGATCCCTTCTCGCTTCTGCCGTCCTAGCGTTGGTGACTTGGGTTATTCGGGGTGAAGAGCGCCCTGCGGTCTTCCTATCAGTTATCGACGAGGGGTTCTGTACTAACCCGAGGCCTCACACAGTGGCCGTGCTACTGTATCGATCGACGAGTGACCCGATGGTCCAAAGGTGACTAATAAGCGATAAGAGAAGTAAGGTGTGTCAGGTACGAAAACCTGATCACTTAGGTTGAGTGTGGGCGAGTAGAAGCTAGACTTGAAATGTATACTCAGACTTGAGAGTGTTATTGAACGCGACTAACTAAACTGTAGATACAGGCGAATGAGTGTTCTTATATATCCTTCCTTGGCTACTCCCGTGGTGACTCCTTTGTGGTCACTTCCGGAGTCGCTCCAATTATGTGTTTCCCTTGGTGCCTACTCCTCCGGCTACTCCCTGGGGGTAGGCGTGGAGTAGGTGATCGCATCACGTAGCTACTCCTCTATCTCACGTTAGGAGTAGGTGATCGTATCACGTGACTCGTAGTCATCTTTGTGCAAGGGTTCCGATCCTTATGTCAATCGATTGGCGTCGGGCTTCTGCCTGGCTGTGCCGCCTTTCGTGGGGTATTAACCTCGTTGGGTTTCCGTAACAATTCTGTTTATAGACTGTATCTATACTCTTAAGATGTTGCAAGAGGCAGCCTATTGCTACTGATACTGAACTGGTGGATGGTACCTGTCAGCTCAATTTACTAGGCAGTGCTTGAACGCCGAGTCAACAACAGAATCAAGACTCTAGTCTACTGAGTCAGAGTAAGCAGATAATATGGTATATTTATCTCAAATCATTCAGTACTTGCAAAGTGGATAGATACCTCAGGCACACTGCACGGGTGTTGTGGCACCCGTTCGGACCAGAATCCTGGCGTTGTTGCCACTTCAATTTATTAGATTATCATTCTAGTTAGTTACTAGTGGTGTTATTATTATTATTATTATTATTATTATTAATACTAATTTATCCATTCATTTCTTTTTGACACTGATATCATGGCACACTGTCAGTTTTGACACTGATTTATTACCCATTCTGGGATTGATTATTCTGTTAGGGGTAGAATGTTACATTATATTCTTAGATCAAGATTACAGAGTACTCCGTACTTTGTCCTGTCTGACAGACCTGATTCCTCAGCAGACCTGTTTTATCTTTTTTTTTTTTTTCTTTCTCAAAAAAAAAAAACCCCCCTAATAATCTTGAGTCAATGAGCACGGGGCACGTCCCAAGTTGGACAGGCAGAGAGAGGGTTCGAGGCGCCTTCGCCCCAGTGCCAACCGGGGCGAACTTGACTGGGTTGGACAGTCGGCCCCATGATTTTCTTCTTTCTCTCTTCTTTTATCTATTCTTCTATTTTATTATTATTCTTTTTATTCATTGACTCTGATCATTGCTTCCATTGATATTATTTTAATTTAATATATATATTACACAGTAAAAGATTGAATGATGATCCGTTAATAATAAGGACGGAAATCTACCAGAAACGGCTGCAGCGGCAGAAAGTGGATGAGCAAGTCCGACTCTAGCCTGGAACTTCTGGCCGAGTCGACACTGGACCAGGTGGTCCACAGCCTCACTTGTTGAGTCTGGAGAGAAAATTTCAAAAAGTCTAATGTACTATCATAATATCATCATAATTCTTCGAGAGGTATAGATTATAGAATTAGAATTACATACAATTATAGACTTGAATAGGAAGAGTTCAAGAAAATAATTCTGGTAAAACGTTCATGACTAACGCGAGCAGGTCAAGCGGACAGAATAGGAGTAGAAGGAAGTCTGACTAAGTGAGATCATCCATTCTTTTTTTCCTTCGTTTTCTTGTCTTTTTTCTCGGGGGGAGAATTTCCCTCTCACTTTTCTGACCTTCTCCCCTCCTCTTCTCTCCTCCATCCCTCTACTCTCTCTCTCTCTCTCTCTCTCTCTCTCTCTCTCTCTCTCCATCTCTCCATCCTCCATCCTCCACCCTCCACCTTACCCACCATTCACCCTTTCTTCTCTTTTCCCTCTTCCCTCTTCCTCATTACTTGTCATTGTTTTCTCTTCCTCTTCTGTTCTTCTTTTTTCTTTCTTATCCTTTGGCTTCTTTTCGAATTCTGTCTTCCTCTCAACGAGCTTTTCACTAAGTATCGTTGCCCTTGTGGTTCTCATCGTTGCTTGAATTCAATCAATCAATCAATCAATTCAAGTCCATCCCCCACAACCCCTTGACACGAGCCATTGGTCTTTTTGGAACACGTTCCATCATTGAACAAATCCCAAAACATTTAAAAAAAAATCCACTCGTGGTTCCCTTCTCCCCGTCCGTCGTCCTCGACCCTCGTGCACGCCAATCAACCCGGAGATTCCTCGCGTCGAATCGAAACCACCAACCCTCTCGACCCAGAAACGCGACCTCCGATCGATACCCCGTCGACAAGAGAAGCACAACCACCGGTTTAATCACACCAGCTGCGACCGCTCCTTACGACTTTTTTCTTCTTTTTTTTCGCATCTTTTTTTCTTCTTCTCTTTTTTTCCCTCTTCTCTCTTCGATCCACCATATCCCTCCATGTTATACATCTAAGAGACATTCACTACGCCAAATTTAGAGCCACGGCTCGTTGAGCGATCCCTTTCCAGGATCAGGGCGTGTCGGACGTGTAGACGGTTCGTACTCTCTTCCGCTGTCTGGAGTTGAGCCTTTCTGCTTTCTGCATTCGATTGCGTTGGCTGACACGGAATCGATCCACAGAGCCTGACCCGTCTGCCTCCTCCCCGTCCTGAACTGGTCTATCCTTCCTCTCCCCCCTCTCTCCTCTTCCCCCGACCTCATCATGCCGTCGTTTTATGCCCCTGGCCTCCAGGGCTTGCCCCGACCCCTCCCCATGTGATGGGTGGTGGCCGGGTGGAGAATGACCACCCCTTCTATTGCCTCCCCCAGTCGGCCTTCCCGCCGCGCTATTCGCAGAGTGGCTGCGAGTTCATCGAACAGTACTCCCAATCATCCTGCTACGCCAAGCCGGCCCCCATGAACCTCTCCCACTCGATGCGGTCCGGTCGGGACATGGCTGCCGCCCATTCGCTGAATCAGTCCATGTTCGGTCTGCCCCCGGCCAATGTCCTCCCCCCCATCCGCAGCAACGTGCAGTTGCCGCCCATGGACAGCGCCATTCCCCCGCAGTACCGCCGCAACGACCGGCTGAGCCAACCCGATCAGCAGCAGCAGCAGCAGCAATCCGCCCCCCGCAAGGAGGAGAAGGCAACGGGTGGTGTTGCCGCCCACCTGGATTACGAGATGGATCAGATGTCCGACTTCGTGGCGGAGATGGCCCAGGGAATGTATGCTTTGTACATCAACCAGATCACCATTGCAGATATTGACTTCGCGCGAAGCGTCTACCCAGGATCGTCGGTCCCCCCGCAGTTTCGCAAATACGTTTGGCAGATCTTGTCGTCCACGCGCCTGCCCAGCTCCACCATCCTCCTGGGCCTCTACTACCTCGCCACCCGCATGCGCATGCTCTCCGCCGCCAAGGTCTACGCCGCCGGCAGTGGCCAGGTCTACCGCATGCTCACCGTCGCCCTGCTCCTCGGCAGCAAGTTCCTGGACGACAACACCTTCCAGAACAAGTCGTGGGCCGAGGTCAGCAACATCCCCGTCGGCGAGTTGAACACCATCGAGCTCGAGTGGCTCTTCGCCTTCGACTGGAAGATCCACGACCGCATCCACGACCCCCAGGACGGCTTCGGCACCTGGCTCACCCACTGGGAGACCTGGCGTGCCAAGTCCAACCGCGCCCAGGAGGCCCGCCAGACCCTGGCCCCCATCGACACCAACCTGTCCCGCGGGTCCCGCGTCGCCAAGCCGCTCATGTCCCCCGAGGGGCCCATCCCGCCGCAGTACCAGCGGAGCGCCCAATACGAGACCTCGTGGCTCAACCCGGCCGCCTCCGAGTATTCGCCCCCGTCTGCCCCCCAGAGCGGTCCGACCACCCCCGACTACTACCCGGTCGGCCCCTGGGGCGCCTACTCGAACCCGCCCCCGCCGCCGTACTCGCGGACCTGGGTGCCGCCCCAGTCGTACATCCCGCCGCCGCGGTCTCAGCCCCCGTCCTACCACCACACTCCGGTCTATGCCCTGCCCTTCGCCCAAAGCGTGTGGACGGGTCATGGATCCTCGTGTGGGTGCCTCTACTGTGCCAAGCACATGGAGCACTACATGTGTGGCGGCGCCTTTGGCGCGATGCAACCCATCATGGCAGCCTGATCTGTTTTTTTTTTTCTTTTTTTTTCTCTTTCGCGACCATGCGTTTGATTCTTGATATGCTCATGATACCGTTCCCGTTTTTTTTTTTTTTTTTTTTCGCTTTGTTTCGTTCCCCTGCGATGATAACCCTGTTTTACTGTCGGTTTCGGTTCCTGTACCTCACTCAAAAGTCTCGTCCAGCGTTCTGTCTTGAACTGCCCCAAAAGCAAAAACCAGAAAAAAAAAGGTGGCTCGCACGTGACATGGAGGCGATGCCGTCACCCTGCCTTGACGATCTGGGTTTACTGGTTCGCATCGTCCCAGTCCTCCAGGCACCCTTTGGCCTTTTGCCCGCTGGAGTGAGAAGTCACGACCATCATGATGTTTTTTTCTTGTTCTTTTTTCAGCTTCCCCCCGCTCTTCTGTTCTCGGTTTTTTGATTGGGCATTTCACCTGGCGAACATTTACCCATAGATTGTTCTTGTTTCGTTCCCGCCGTTGGTTCATCAATTGGTTTTGCCTTCCCCTACGCTTGAGTCTGGCGTTCATGCCCTGTTAATATTTATGATGCATTGGTCTGTTCCGGTTGATATTCCTCTGGACCGAACAGGATCCGGTATCTTCGCCTGGCGTTATACCGGCCGTGGAGCAGATCGATGGAGTCTCGTGATTTCAGTCTCGTTCGTTCTTTATCTTGCTTGACTTGCCATTTGACGATTGTGAATGCACTTTCTTCTTCTTTTTTCTTTTTTTCTTCTTCTTCACTTCTGCACCCTCGGGTATTGCCAGTTCTTCACTATCAGTTCATACATTGGATCGATCAGTCTTTTCTTCTTCTTCCCTTCTCTTTATTCTTCACCTTTTTTCACTTTTTTTTTTTTTTTTTTTTTTTTTTTTTTTTTATTCACTTCATCCTGATTGATCAATTGATTGATTGTAAGTTAGATTTTAACTACTTCTTTACTAGTATTTCTGCAAGCAACCTGAATTGCAAGAAAACTATCTAAAAAAAAAAAGAGAAACAACAAAAGGTCCAGAAAAAAAAAATCAAATCAAAAATGAATTGGATTTCCTTTACCTACCTTTACCTTACTTTTGACCTTGCCCTACTTTTACTCTACTTTGACTTTTACCTTGTTGGATATATATAGACTTGGTATGTATGACCTGATTGACTTATTGACCTATTGACCTTGGCCTACACAAACGTTCTACTGTCTATTCATTTTACCTTATTGATGGAATAGAGTTTACTTAATATGTCTTCTTACTTTATTCACTACACTGCACTTTACCTGGGATATGGATATGGATATGGATATGATATGGATATGGGTATGGGATATACACGCACATTATACCACTGTTGATACACTCTGAACTTGTTCTTATATAATCTATATAATCTACAACCTATATAATATATACCCAAATCAACCTCCTCTCCAATCCCATTTCACTTGCAGTGGTACTTAATGAACACACATGAGCTGTCAAAGGTGTAAGACAGACACTTATTATCCTTTACCCTGCCCAGAGAGAGACAAGAAAGAAAGACAGAAAGAAGGAAGGAGGGAAAAGGTCACAGCATCGCCCTCTCCTCCTCCTCCTCCTCCCCCCTCAACACCCTCCTCGGCGGTCCACCCCGACTTCCATCCCCGCGCGAGATAGCAGCTTTTGAAGCCGGCCATGCCCACTTGCTTCGTTGTGCTGAAGGTGCAATGCCTTCGAAGCTGTCGGCGATGCGGGGGCCGAGGATGGGGAGGAATTTGAATGCACTTTTTATTTCATCTGTTAGTTTATACTTTTGTTTATACCCTTGATGTATGCTTGGTTTGATGATGGGTTGATGGGTTGAGAGATGGGTAAGATAGGTAAGTAAGGCGATGACATACTGTCCACTCCCACCAGTCGCGAGGAATAATCCCTCATAATCAGGATGATAGTCGACGATGAAGTCTCCATTTGGGGTGTCGGTGTACCAGCACAGCCGCTGTTGCACGAAAGGGCGGTCTTTGAAGCGCGGGAGGAAGAGGGCGAGGCCTGCGCGGAGGGCTTGTTCTGCGTCTTGAGGGAGGGTTGTTTTGCTGTTACTGCTGTTGGAGGGTGCTAGACTTGGAGCACTGAACTTATCTGGAGGACTAGATGGTGAAGAAGAAGAAGAAGACGATGATGATGATGATGATGATGATGATGATGATGATGAAGAAGAAGAAGGAAACACCGATCTAACAACCTCATACCCAAACCCATGCCTCGCCATCTTCAGCAGATTCGTCCCCGGCGTCGGCGGAAACGCGAACCACCCCGTGCTGAGATCGATCATGACGGGTGTGCGCTCTCCCCGCATGGCGGCTGCTTCTTCCGGTGTCAGCTGGATGAATGCCACCGGCTGACCGGTTGAAATTGATCGCCCGCTCATGTCGAGCAGGTAGGGCGTCCAGGCGCCTGTGGCGAGGATGATTGTGGGAGCGGAGAAGGTCGTCCCGGCTGCTGTGCGCACGGCTTGGATTTTTCTTTTCCCTTGTTTGTTTGGTGTTGTGGATGTTGGTGAAGAGGAGGAGGAGGAGGAGGAGGAGGAGGAGGAGGAAGAGGTGATAAGGGAAGTGACAGTCCCATGTCGCCCAGATATAAAAGAAACACCAGCCTGCGCGCACCGCCGCGCAAGATACGCAATGCTACCCTCCGCATCCGCCCACCCACCGCTCAGATTCCAGTACCCGGTTGTAGCAGCCAAATCGCCATGAATACCGGGGTACTTCTCGTTAGCCTCTCCACCCCGGAAAGTCTGAATATTAGCCCCGTTACCAAGAGCCTGTAAATTCTTCTTCGCCCGCTCAAGATACTCCGCCGAGCCCTGCGACTGCACGCAGAGCAGCCCGCTATGGTAGAAGAACGGCGCGAACTCGCCCTTCCAGCCATTCAGGGCGTCGAGCCCCATTTGCGCGTAGAATGCATCTGCGTAGTCGGGCCGGATTATACGCGAGACGTCGACGCTGGAGCCGTCGGGCACGGGGGGCAGGGTGCGGTCGAGGAGGGTTATGTTGGTGTAGCCTCGGGTGGAGAGCTCGAGGGCTGTGGTTAGGCCGAAGACGCCGGCGCCGATTATGAGGATGGGTTGGGTTTTAGATTTAGAAGGGGGAGACATTTTGGGAATGGATGGTATTTAGATTTGACTGGAGAGATGGGCTGGAGGTGGTTGAGGGGTTCTTGGAGATGTTATAAGTATACTGTAGTTGGGTTGTACTTCTATGTCCGGGTGATGTGGGGACGGATCCGGTCCGTCTGGCTAGACCGATTGTCAATGTCAACTTTGAATGGATGTCTGCCGGGAATTGGATGATTATAATCAAAGGATAGTTGTCTGAGAGGTAAGTTGCATTTCAACTGTATTTCAGCTCTGCTTGCTCGCTCTGAGTAGCAATGGATCGTGTCTTCTAATCCAATGTAAGCACGCGGCACGCCGGCAGTAACATGGACTGTGACTCCAAAAGATAGCATAGCCCGCGATTAACGCAGTCAAGGTTAGCTATACAAGTTTTCTGGAAAGATGTAGATTATATATAGAATGGACCATCTATACTGGTAGTCACTCGCAGTCTGTATCTCCCAAGCTCATGCCTGATGTAGTCAATCACTGTTCCGTCCTCCGCTCACGTGCCCGGGTGGTTCGCCGTCTGACGTGGGGCCATACGAGGGTTTTGATAATGTTTAGTATAAGTATCTAGGCATAGGTAGGATCTAATTTTTGATCTGCACTTGAGATTGTCTAAATGATAGACAGATTTATGCTAATATCGACGCGGGCATCAAACTGCAACGGAGAGAGATCTAGTGCTCCAATATAACTGGGTATTCATTCAGACATGGTATAAGGTACTTCGTGAGCATGTCGTATATCATGATAGGTATAAACATTATAAAGATGCAGTGATATCTAAAAGGTTCAAAACACTGGAGAAAGAAAAAGGGAAGTGGATTAGTAGACACTCCCGTGAATGCTCTGGTCTTCGCGCTGCTCCTTGTCCAAAGCATGGGGTTCACTGTCCCCATCGTCGTCATCCCCGTTGTGCTCGTCTTCGTGTTCATGCACATACTCGTGCTGATCGGGATCCAGGTCTGAATGAGCTGCCGCATCGCCTTCCTCGCTTCGATCCCTCTCGTTCAGCATGTTGGCGACCTTCTGGGCGAGGTTCCGTCTTCCCGGTCCATTCATGTGGGGATTGTTCCGACTGTGGTGGGACCGTGTCCGTCGCAGCCGTTGGGCGTGGCTGCTCCCTTCGTCGTCCCCGTCGTTGCCGAAATCTTGGGATGGCTTGGGTTGGTGATTGGACGACCGGTTGCCACTGCGGAATGGCGATCTACTGTCTCGCTCGTCTTCCGATGGGCAAAGGCTGTTTGCTCCGCTCATGGAGCCACCACCATCCCGTCCGGCAAGGTGAAGGAGGGCGTAATTCGATCGAGGCGAGTGGAGCAGGTGGTCGTCACTGTCGCGATGGAAGCCGGCCAGGTTTGGACGCCTTAGCGTTGGGCTTGGACTTGCTGCCGGCGATGAAAATGTGCGAGTGTGATTAGGGCTGGCGCAGGAACAGTCGCGTCTCCCGTCATTGGCGGTACTGTTTTCGGTCGGGCGGCTCGGGTTTGTACCGTTCCCTGGCGGATCGAGGAACTCGTGCCGTGGCGTAGGAGACGGGATGGTTCTGTCTAGGGGCTTCGATTCGCTTGACTGGTCTCCCAGGGCTGGTTCGGGGGCCGTTAACATCTGTTGCGTCGCGGTAGCCATTTCCGCTTTGATAGGACGATGGTGGGCGCTGTTATGGTGATGGTGGTGATGGGTGCGGGTGTGGTGATGATGACCCTCCGGCTGGTCCTGGCCATGACCGGCGTTGTGAACCTGTTTATGGCTGGTGTCGCTGGAGCGCAGCTGATCCGTTCCATTTGGGCGAGACGCACGCGTGGAAGGCTTCCTGCGAATGCCATGATTGCAGCCTTCGGGACAGCCTCCCCATTTGCGCCGGAACGGGGTGGGCGCGTCGGTACTAGGCACTGACAGGGCCGGCCCGAGTCCCTTGATCGCCCGTTCTTGCTGTCGCTCCCCCTCCTTCTCCTTTCTCAACTCTGACCACGTCCGAAGTTGATTTTGTAGCGCGTATTTCCCATTGTCCTGATTCAGCTTCATGATCACGAACTCGCAGTGGTTGATGTTGCGGAGATCCTCAAAATACTCGACGCTCCAGTGGTACCACTTCATGAGGAAGACCCGCGTCATGAGCCCGTGCGTCACCAGGACGCACACACTGGCGCAATCATCCTCCCCAAAGAGTCGCCACAGGGATTCATTGAACCCGCTGACCCGATCGTAGGCGTCCGCGGCCGACTCGCCGTTGGGGATGCGGTAGAAGAAATGCCCATAGTCTGCCCGCTCCATCCACATGCGCTCCATCTCCGCGGAACATGGTTGGAAGTTGCCAAAGTCCTGCTCTCGCAACCGGGGTTCTTCGTAGACCTTGATGGTGTTTCTCGGAAACGGGGACGGGGACGGCGAATCGGAGGTCAGGGATTGGAGAATGCCCTCGGTGGTCTCCCGAGTTCGGCGATAGGGGGAGGTGAAGAAATGGATGTTGTCATCCGGGCGCAGGAGTCCACGGAGGTTGGCGCCTGCCTCCCGGGCTTGTCGATGGCCCTCGGCTGTGAGTTTGACCCGGTGGTCGGGGACGGTTTGGTGAATATCACGGTTTTTGTTCCCCTCGGATTGGGCATGACGGATCAGAATGATCATCTATTGACCGTTAGACGCTTCGAGTTCGAGGAGTATGCTTCTTCGGGAAATCCTACCCGTGGCTTGCCCATGGCTGCTAATTTTGCCTGCACCTAGAGGGGAGAGGTGGAGATGGAGGGGCCGAAGATTCGAACGGTCAAGCAGTATCATGAACTGGGCGTATCACCAAGTACTTGCACAATTCCACCGGGTCACCTTATATATTAGAAATGTTCCCAGTCAAGAAACCCCAGCAGTCTGCAAAAAAGAGGGGGCAACAGTCTGGAAGAGTAGAAAGACTGGGAAGTCATGAACCTAACCTCCAAGTGAAAGTACCTAATCGCTCAATTGGGTTAGCGGGTCCAGTGATGTCAATGCTGGCCCACGTGATGCCGTATCGACCAATCCGCAGAGATGCATTTGATGCATGTTGTCGAGGGTTCAAGGCTGGATGTTGGGTCTCTCGCCCGGTTGGCGAGTCTGCATGGTAGTCTCCTGGTGCTCTGGGCCTGGTTTAGGAACGGGGGATGTGGTTGGGAGTCAATGGTTACACTCAGAAGGCAACCAGGCCCGAAACCGATATTGAGAGAGAATGGTGCTCATGACTTGCTCGTGTCATGGTCGATTGGGATCTGGAAGACTTGGGGTTCGAGACCAGTGTTGGGCGAGTCTGCATGCAGTTGGAAGGATGCCTACATGCAGGTCAAAGTTGCTCATCTGCCTGAAATCGCAAACGGGAGATCCAAAAGTACTGATAGTCGCCTGACGTATTGGGGGAACTTTCACTCTGAGTCGTCTGTGATGTCCAGCATGCGGCCAGAAGAGAACCAAAAGCAAGACCAATGAGGTATAGGATGGACGCCGGACGTCTTTGATATTGGGACTTGATAGGAGTGAAGGAGGAGATAGGATCAGGGGTGCCTGAGGCATGAGGGCAACATTATAGAGTCAGCGATAGAATTCTGTACATGGCATCATCAATCAATCCTCATGAGAAAAGAGAAATGTAGACTATACCGGACGCAATAATATCCTCCAAGACGTTCCACTAGACAGTAAATATAGAGGAATACTAGACCATCGGAGATGTTGCGCCAGTTGCCGCGGAGGCCACCGTACTAATTAGTAGCCGTGGTTTCTCCCCCCGATCTGTCCAGTTCCTCGTCCCCCCATCAACCCCCCACATCGTCGACTCTGTTGAGACAACTCGGTTGAATATCCCCACATCACGGGAGTCTGCATCATGGCGGACTATCTTTACGAGCTTCTCTCCCCCCATCTGGCCCCGACGGCCAATTCCCCTAAGCCCCTGTCCCCCGAACAGGACGCGACCACCGCCCAGTACCTCAATCGACTACCGACCCTCTCCCTCGAGGCCCTGCAGGAAACAGAACCCCAATCGCTGGCGCAGTCCTCCCATTCGACCCTCCTCTCGATCCAGGCCCTGTCGAACCGCTCCCACCGGACCTTCATCACCTCCGCCGACAACCTCTCGAACCTCCGCACCTCCATCCCGCGCCTGACCCGCGACGCCCAGCAGCTCCGGGATGCGGTCCCGCGGTTGGACGAAGAGGCCGTCTGCTTCTCCTCGAAATACAGTCGGGCCGCGGAGAATGCCTCCCTGGAGCAGCGCAAGCGGAGTATGCAATTGGCCCGAAATGTCGACCGACTCTCGGATATTCTGGAGCTCCCTACCCTCCTCTCGACGGCGGTGTCGTCGGCCGCAGCGAGCTCCGGCACAGCGGGCGGTTCGCTGTCGACGACATATTCGGCTGCTTTGGATCTCTACGCCCATATCAAGCGACTACAGACCCTGTACCCCGATTCTGCGTTGGTCAAGGATGTGACTTCGCAAGCTGAGGATGCGATGAAAGACATGACGAGCAACCTGATTGGGGGCCTGCGGGCGCAGAACCTGCGACTCGCAGCTGCGATGAGGACGGTGGGCTGGTTGCGACGGGTCGCACCCGAGCTGGAGGGCCTCTTTCACGACGGAGGATCCGGCACGGGGGAGGGCGCCCTGGGGGCGGTTTTTCTGATCTGCCGACTGGCCAATCTGGTGACCACGCTGGAGGCCTTGGAACCCCTACGGGAGCTTGCCGACCAGGAAACGCAGCGCAGGGCGCGGAAGAGAGGTGCGAAGAACGGCGCCGGATCGTGGTCGGATGGACACCAGACCGAGAAGTATTTGAAGCGATACATTGAGATCTTCCGCGAACAGAGCTTTGCTATCGTCTCTCTCTACAAAAATATCTTCTCCCCCGATCAATCCGAGTCGGATCTCGCCGTGGCAGGCCTCCGAGGCATCGACGCCCGGATCAAGGCTGCGGCATCGCCCTCCCCGTCCGCCATCGACACCGACCCTCTACAACACCTCCCCCGGCACTCTCTACGTTCCCCATCCACCTCGTCCAGCTCCTGACGGACACTCTACGCACCTATCTTCCCAACGTCCAGGACAAAAGCTCGCGAGAGAGTCTGCTGACGCAGATCCTGTACTGCGCTGCCAGTCTCGGGCGCCTTGGGGGGGATTTCAGTATGGTTCTCACTGAATTGAGCGACGCAGACGACGAAGATGACGAAGACGACCGTATGGCCCAGGAGTGGGAGGAGATCTCACGAAAGCATCGGGCCTTGGCAGGGCGTCTGGAGCAGCTCACTGGTGGACATCCTCCATCCTCTTCCAAGGGTGGGAGTGCCTTGCGCGCCGTCTCACCTGCATAAAGCAAGAAACACCACCCAATGGCGTAAATGAACAGGGGAGATCAAAGAACCACAACAGTTCAGCTCATAACTCCAAACTATGCTGAAAGAATCATGAAGTCGAATGACAATGATTCTTGGGGGGGCTGAGGGAGAAGACGCTAAACCGGAAGAAGGATTAGCTGCGGACCGGGTGGAGTTACGTTGTCTGGACCATCATCCTCCCTCTTCCTCTTCCTCTTCCTCTTCCTCCTCTCTCCCTCCCTCTTGCTCTCTCTGTTGAATCCCTCCCTCCGCTCCACAACACAGGTTCTTCTTCGGGAAGAAAAAGGAGGGACCCCTGATTGATATGTAGCATTTCTGTTTTCCTGATTTGGCTCTCGGATTTCTATTTATACCTCCGCTCCCGCGATCGGTGCTGGTTCTCCGGTCGCTTCCTGGGTCTTCGCAGCTGTCGGTCCTGGTGTGACGTTCGCCCTTGCGTGCATGCAGTGATCATCCTGTCGAAAGTCGCTCCTCTGGGAGATGAGAGCTCTCCCAGAAATACTATATCATAATATATAAACCAGAGAAATTTAATCCGCGTCAGACGCTTGACATCCATATCCCCGTCCCCGACCCGCCCGACGATCGAACCTCCCCGATGGCGACCTCCGCACTCCCCGCCGGCGGATTAATCGATCCTACCAAACAGGCGGAGTACCCTATCGTATTGGGGGATCGATTAGCCGGAAAATCCACCTCGTCGAAGTCACGGCTATACAATATTCAATACAACTACAAGACCAAGTCGGCGACCGCCCAGCAGCGGGCCGTGATCACGAGGGACTCGCAGTCACGGGATTCCTACGGCCTGAGGATCACCGACAAAGCCCCGAATGCGGAACAAAATGTCTTGACCTATTCATACCGAGGGAGCATCGACCCCGAGCAGGCACTTCGGGGGCGCGACGAGCATAATCTGGTCTTGGTGTTCGATCCCAATCGAAAGGTGTTCGTGTTGGAGCCGGTGACGACGCAGCTCAACTTCAATCTGCGTTCGGCCCCGGCCAAATCCGAGAAGCAGGTGCTGGAGCAATACTCCCAGCTGAGAACGTTGCAGGGCGAGGATCATGGTGTGGGCGACGATGAGCCCGCGGGGGATGCCAGCGGAGACGATGACGGGCCCGCCGACGACGACAACCCGTACGACTACCGCCATTTTCTTCCCAAGGGCAACGGCGACGATGACAAGTCTATGTCGGACAACGCGACCCCCGAGCCTCCGTCCGGTGCGAGTAAGGCGAATACCCCCTTGTTGCCCGCGGCCACCAAACCCGCCCCAGCCCCAGCCGCGCCCGAGGAAGCCGGCCAATAATCCCCTGCGGCTGCCGAGCAAGCCGCCCAAGGCGGGCAATAAGGGTCATACCGCTGCATCGAAGGCGGCCTCTCCTCCCCGCGCGCGTGTCGAGAAGATCGAACCTGATCGGGCAGTGGAGAAGGTTAAACATGCGCCCCCGCGGGAACCACCAAAGTCCACTCCCTCCGACACCGAAGCCGGGTTCGGGTCCGCGGACAAGGCGGCCCCGTCTCCGGGGTCCAACATCATCATCGACGGCGATCTGATCATCGACATGGGCTCCCCGCCTCCGTCCCGACCGGTTTTCAACATTAATCCGGCCCATTTTTCGTCCAACAACACCCCGGCCGAGGGGGGCGAAGAAGACGACGATGAGGAGATTGAGGCCCTACGCCTCCCATCACCGGCTGGAGCCGGAGCACGCCCTGCCCCGCGGGCGGCGAGGAGCCCGTCTCGACGACGCCGGCTCCCGACGAGGACGTCGAGGACGACGATGCCTTGGCCGCCGAGATGGAAGCGGCCTTTGAAGAGAGCGCGCGGCAGGAAGAAGAGCGCAGTCAACAATCCCAGCCGGAAGGTTCGCATCATTATGTGGCTAGCGAGGATGAGAGCGAAGTCAGCGAGGAGGAATAACCGTATTAATATTTTGCCTTTCCTTTTTTTTTTACCCCCTTTATCTCTGATTCCTTTTCTCACATTCTATTTCGTTCTTGCGTGATTGCTATGACATGGGGAATTTTGCCCCGATGCATGGCGCCATCTGGAGTTTGGAGCGCGAATCATATACCTACACGGACATGCTGTCCGGGTTCTTTGATATACCACTTGTTGCGTGTACACATCGTCTTGACTAGTTAGGACCATCTTGTAGTGGTTATTCATATTGAGACATGTTAATTACCTGGAATTGAGAGTAAATACATAAAGTATACTGTAACCTTTTGGCGATCCGAATCTAGACCGGAACAACTGGAAGGTCCGATGGCCGACGATCATTGGAAATTCATGCAGAAAGACGGTGCCATCCCATCCATATCACTCTTCCCTGCCTTTACTCTCCGACACCGACGCAACTATTCTTCTCCTTGACTCCAAACAGCGGAGCAGGTTTTCTACGACAGACGTTCTTCTTGGTGGGTCGTTCACCCGTCCGAGACGCCAACACCGGCCCTCCGCGAACCTCCTGTCTCCCTTCAGGGACACGGCGATCCATTTCGCTCCGAACCCCCGGTCAACCCCCGGTCAACGATGCGATGAGGAGTCTTCCAGACCATGGATGACGCGACCTGTTAAGATCTTTTGAAGTATTGGTTTGAGCAACTGGGACGGAGAAGGGCATTTGCAGCCGTCCGCTTCCACGGCTTCGACCACCCGACGCTCCGTCGTCTCGCACATACAAAGCTTCCCTCGGGGGTGGATCACGGTCGGAGACCTTAAACCGACCTTGGTATCTGACAGGGATTTGATCGTACCACGCCTCCTACCTCCTCCATGGCGTCCTCCACGTCTCATCCTCTGGAACAGCGACCCGTCCCCGCGCCGTCGAATTTTGTCCTCCTGTCGAGACAGGCCCAATGGCTCTTCACAGATGAGGAGCTCACGCGATCGCCGTCCGTGCTGGACGGGATGAAGCTGGACGCAGAACACATGAGCCGCAGCAAGGGTGTCAATTTCATCATGCAGGTAGGCATCATGCTGAAGCTACCGCAGCTCACCCTTGCCACCGCCGCCGTGTACCTGCACCGGTTCTTCATGCGCTTCAGCATGGTCGATCTGCCCCAGCGACCAGGCATGCACCCCTACCCCATCGCAGCCACGGCCCTGTTCCTAGCCACCAAGGTCGAAGAGAACGTCCGGCGCATGCGCGAGCTGGTCATGTCGTGCTGCCGGGTCGCCCAGAAGCAGCCCAACCTGCAGGTGGACGAGCAGTCCAAGGAGTTCTGGAAATGGCGCGACACCATCCTCCACCACGAGGATCTGCTGCTGGAGGCGCTCTGCTTCGACCTGCAGCTCGAACAGCCCTACCGCATCCTCTACGACCTCATCTGTTTCTTCAACGTCAGCGAGCACAAGCCGCTGCGCAACGCGTCCTGGGCCTTCGTCAACGACTCCATGTTCACCCCCCTCTGCCTCCAGTTCACGGCCCGCACCATCGCCGCCGCCGCGCTGTACGCCGCCGCACGGCACTGCGGCTTGGCCTTCGAGGACGACGCCCTCGGCCGGCCGTGGTGGGAGCAGGTGGACGTCGACCTGGCGCAGGTGCGTCGCGCGTGTACGAGAATGGCGCAGCTCTACGAGAGCAATGCCTCGCAAAGACATAGCCAGTACTACCCGACCACCCCTATCATCTCGGACGAGGGCGCTGAGAAGACCAGGATCCCGCACACGGGCAGCCCCTCCGCTTCTTCTCTTGGTGCGCCGACAGCGACGGCGGACAGCGCCGTCAATGGACGAAAACGGTCCAGGGATCCGGAAGATAGGAGTGCCAGAGATGCTCCCTCGGATCATGCCCCGGGTTCTTTGAACGGGGACCGCTCTCCAAAACGACAGCGGATGGGCTCGTCTTCCGAGGGCCATCCTCCTCCTCATTCCTCTTCTTCTTCCTTCTCCCATGATCGACACCCGTCCATCAACGGCCATCCTCCTGCTTCCTCTTCTTCCTCACGCCGCATTCCCCACTCCCACCCCCACCACGAGAGTGACTCCCACCCCACAACATCCCAAGGCGCAAGACGCCCCTTCGACCCAATTCAGCGCCAAATCGACGAGATCGTCCAACGAAACCTCTCTCACGGGGGTAACCCAGCATCACCATCATCTCGAGACCGAGACCGCGACCGAGACCGAGATCGAGATCGGGATCGAGACAGGGACTACGACCGAGACTCCTCTAGACGCGTCCCAGACCGATATCGCGGAAGCGGAAGCGGAAGCGGCCCAGACTGGGACTACGACGACCGAAGCCGCCGACGCCGGTCCTCAACTGGCGGACGAAGAGGGTCGTCTTCATTCGATGACCGTGTCTCTGCTACATCCGGTGGACATCATCCACCTCCTCCTCCTCCTCCTCCTCCTCCTCCTCCCCCATCCGGCCCGCCAACGGATACCCCTCCTCCGCCGCCGCCACCACCACATCCACCACAGGAGCCACCTCCGGCACCACCGGAGGGAAACGCAGATGCAGATGAAGAAGGTGGGGGAAGTGAGGAGGGGGAGCTCTGATCGGTTTACACCTTGCAGACAGATCGACCCAGTCGATCTTCTTTCCTTTTTGCAGCGGGATTGATCGAAATAGAGCTGTACTGGCGGGAGGAGTAAGAGGAGGAAAGAGGATGTCGTGGTTGTTTCCTACCTACCTACCTAGTCTTTGCTTTTCTATACCACGTTTGTGTCGGTTTTATAGCCTTCTGTATCTAGATTATATTTAACTTTGAATCTAAAATGAGATCTAAATCTGAATCTAAATCTGAATCTAAATCTGAATCTAAATCTGAATCTAAAATGAGATCTAAATCTGAATCTAAATCTGAATCTAAATCTGAATCTAAATCTGAATCCAACTCAATTGCTATAAAGTATCATTATTATTCAGCGAATAGGTCTACTACTGTTACTTACACATACTTGCAACCACACATACTTGGTTGGATAAGCATAGTAGGTAGGATAGTTGGTAGGATAGTGAGTAGGATAGTGAGTAGGATAGTGAGTAGGATAGTGAGTAGGGTAGTAGGTAGGATAGCAGGTAGGATCATCATAATATAAGAATGAAGTAGCCATACATACCATACCTGCCTAAGGGGATAGATAGATAGATAGATATACAAGGAGACGGAATTAGACAGGGGATTGTACAAGAAGATAGGAAAAGCAAGTCAGCCAGCTGGGGAGGCTCGCTTTCATTCAGTGTCTACAGTGTCGTCTTGTCCGTTAGTTACGAGATAGTTGACAGTCTACAGTCTACAGATACATCATACAGCACACCTTCCAGATAACAACGTTGATAAAGCAAACCCCAGATAAAAAACAAACAGACTACCTACACTACCACCACCACCACGAAAACCAATCTCCTCCCTCCCTCCGAACCAAAGACACTTTCCATTCCAACACGGAAGAAGGCATCCCACAGATAGTCAATGCCCAGCAGTCAACATCCCATGTCCATGGTCCAGCAAACTGCTCGACGCAACAAAGCTAAACCCGCCGAACGGGTCGCCCTCCCCGCCGTGACTGCCCCGCTGGCGACAGAAGTCGTCGAAGCCGTTGCTGGTCATGACCGGGCTCAGCGGCATGTGGGTGAAGTCGTCGGAGAAGTTCTCTGCGAGGGCTGGGTCCGTGACGACGGGATTGATAGGCGGGGTGAGCTCGCGGCGCTCGAGGGCCTTCCAGTCGATTTTGCGGAAGAAGCGGTGTTTCTTGATGGTTTGGAGGTCTTTGGGCATGTGGTAGCCTAGCCGTTTGGAGGGTTCCTTGCGGAGGAGCCGGATGAGGAGGTCTTTGGCGTCGGGGCCGAGGAAGTAGGGTAGGGGGAGCTTCTGTTTGAGGATCTTTTCTTGCAGCTTGGTGTTGTTGTTGGCTGTGAAGGGGGGCGCCCCTGTGAGCAGGTCGTAGCCTAGTGCGCCGAGGGACCACCAGTCGCAGGCTTTGCCGTAGGGCTTGCCTTGGATGACTTCGGGCGCCATGTACTCGAAAGTGCCTAGGGAGGAGTTGCAGCGGTCGTCGTCGTTGACGGCGATCTTGGACAGGCCGAAGTCGGTTAGCAGGAGGTGGCCTTCGCGGTCCAGGAGGCAGTTCTCGGGCTTGAGGTCGCGGTAGATCACCCCGACGGTTTGGTGCAGGTGCTCCAGGGCGAGGACCATCTCGGCCATGTAGAAGGCGGCCGCGTCTTCGTCGAACATGCGCTCCATGGCCAGGTGGGTGAACAGCTCGCCGCCCTCGGCGTACTCCAGGATGAGGTACAGCTTCTCGTGGTCCTGGAATGCGTAGAACAGCTTCACGACAAAGGGGTGGCGGCTGACGCTCTCGAGGATCGTGCGCTCCGTCTTGGTCTGCTCCACCAGCTTCTTGTGCACCGTCAGCGACGCCTTGCGGAACTGCTTCTGCGCGTAGAGCTTCCCCGTGAGCACATGGCGCACCAGGAGAACCGTGCCAAACGAGCCCTTCCCCAGGCAGAGCAACGGCTCGAAGTCATCGGTGGTCATCTTGCGGCACAGCTGGGTGCGCATGTCGCAGACACTGGAGGTATTTTGAACACTCTCCGCGACGGCGTCCGAGCTCACATAGTCATGCTCCAAGGGGACCTCATAGCTGGTCAGAATCTCCGTCTGGTCGCTATCCGAGCAGACGCTGACATTGCTGGGGGTCTCCGAGCGTCTGCCGTTCGTGGCGCCGCGCGCCGGACTATCTGCGGACAGGCTCATCGAATCGAGCTGGAGCTTCAATGCGCTAACGCTGCAGCCGGGAACCGGTTGCGCCGGCGGGCTGTTCCCGCTGGTTCCCACGCGCGCATGCGGTCGCGCGCTAGGTGCCCGCGAACTGGCGGCCGACATGTCCGAGTCTTCGTCGCCCGAACCGATGGGGTTGAACCCGCGCACGGTGGAAACCGCCGGAGCAACTCCATCCGCGTGCTTCTTCTTCTTCCGGCGTCGCTCGGTCTTCCCAGACAGCGGGACAGCATTCATCTTGGGGACCGGAGAGGCAACACCCTCACGAATCCCTCCGACTGCCGGGTTCGGGGCGCGTTGGGGACTGCGATTGGCCATGTGGAAGCCGGTACGTGGGTTGCTGGGCAGTTGGAGGTCGCGAGGCTGACTCTGCGACATGTCCGCCTGGGGGGTAAACACGTCGCCCACGGAAAGGTCATCCTGAAAGGGAGTCGAATTGGTTGCTTCCCTCATATCCATCATATTGAATCCTAGACCAACGGACATTCGAAAGATTCTCGGAGCGGGACGGCGACAGCGAGGTTCGATCCGTAGAGTTCACCGATTACGTCCACTGGACCAAACAACAGACGGATATGTTCAAGCCCACTAAGAAGTATCTGCAACGCTAAGAAGAGGACACAAGAAAAGGTTAGTCAACCAAAACGAGGGTCCATCCGGGGCTCCCACACGAAGTGGGGTACTTGAAAGAGAAAAATAATAACGAGAAACAACCCCAGGTAAGGGGCCCCAAGCCGTACTCACCTTCGCAGGGGAAAGTCCACCGAAGCTCAGCGCATACACCCACTGACGACGCCAGGGGTGGTGGAGGTAAGCGAAGGTAAGCGCACAAGACGCCTCGATCTTCGATCCTCAATCCTCGATCCTCAGATCTGGAGTAGATTTACCGTCCGCCCTTCTTCAGGACGGACCCTGCACCCCTAGCCAAAGCACCCCGTTGACGGAGGGGTCGGACAGCAGGTTGGGAAATGATCCAGCCCGGGAGGACGAGGGTCCAAAGTCGTCGATCACGGTCGAGGGGAAGTCGTCCGACGTTAGGGTTCGGACGGGATACTTGGCCAAGGAGCCAGGGGAGCAAACACGAACGGACAATGAAGACGTAGGCGCAGACGGGGACATGGGCATAGAGACCACGGAGCTGGATGGTTCAATAAGGGGTCAAATGAGTGGGAAATTCCCGGAAATAAGGAGACTCTGAAGTCGGAGAAGTGAGAGAGCACACCGTGCAGAAGAAAGAGAAAGGAGAGAAAGAAAGAGAGAGAGAAAGAGAGAGGTAATAATTCGATTGGAGACGCAGAGCTCACCTCAGGCTGAACTTTTGTCTTGGCCTCCGAAATGAAAAACATTCGGGCCAATCAGCGGTCGCCGGTGCTAAGCGGGATGGCGCTAGTCCTGTTTTGGTGTCTTATGGATGACTTCACGTGCGGGATTCACGGTATTCATTAGGTAATTGGTTTTGTGTACACAAGGCTTGTCCGGGATTAGGTCTCTGGGCAGCAAGTGGAGTGTCAAAAGAGCACTTGGCGGTGTTTTCTAGGTATAGAGAGGCAGATATAAATCATATTAAAAAAGTCAAGACAATCATCGGATCTAAAGTCGGAGGATCAACAAGACCATCAGATGTGACGACCACCTGACAGCTTTCTGGACTATTCTGGACTAGTCAGTCCTTTGACAGCATATCTTATCAGCCGCACCGTCATCGCGGAGCCGGACGGATCTATACAACAACACATCATTATTTCTCATTGGATTTCAAATATACACAACGCACGCATTCTCCCTTAAATACACATGTCGCAATGAAACGCAATCGGTTCATACATCTTCTTCCTTTCCCGATCAACCAACCCTAGCCCATCCTATGACAGAGCACGAGCTAGAGGGGAATCTACTCGACTGAGCAGCCGACATTCCACTGGTCGTTGTTTTTCTTCCATCTCGATTACCATACCACCCCCGTTCCTAGCCTCGCAGAGCCAGACATCGTGATCGTAGCAAACCATAAGGCAAGGAGGACCAATTCCTGGGGACATTCTCTATCCTGAGTTGCGTCCTCTTCTCTCTTCCCTCCCGTATTTCCTCTCCTCACCTTTCTCTTTCCTTTTCTTCCCCGCCGTCTCCCCCCTTCCCCCGCCCGCATCTGTCTGGTATGAAGATGACCCCGCTATGTCCAACGCCGTCACGTTCCAGGAACACTCCATCGAGTCGCTCCAACCATCAGGAAACACAAAGAAACAGATCCTCCAGAGACAGGGGGAAAAAATATCAATACTAATATTAAACACAAAGCAGTGCGACGCATCATGGGTATTTGTCATACATTCACAGCATTAATAGAATGACAGTGGATATTTACCAGTATGCACGGCGCTCGTAGGGATACTCGACCCGCGGAGGAGAGCGGGGACGTCCATAGGGCCTGGGTGCAATGTACGGGTCGTCGTAACGCGGGGGCGGCGGGGGACGGACATCATAGGGGTCTTCATAGGGGCGGCGTGGGGGCGGGTAGTCTTCAATCCGAGGACGGGGGGGCGTCCGCCGCCCATAGCCATCCCGGTCATAGTAGTCCCGTCGGAGTGGAATGGGGGATCGCTCCCGGTAGTGGGCGCGCGGGCTGTATCCACGAGGGGCTGGGAACCTTCGGTCGTATTCATCCATGGGAGGATAGCTCCGTCGAGGGGACCGGGATCGGTAGGGGTCACGCAGGGCCCGGTCATCAGGGTTTTGGATCTAGAGACGGCATGAGGATGGGGGCGTTTCCAGTTTCCTTGGGCGCAGAGAGGTCCCTTACATCGGCAACGCAGGTCACTCGCGAGCCTTTGAATTCCCGGCCATCCAGCTTTTCGATGGCGGTCTTCAGGTCGTTTGCGGTCTCGTACTCGACGAACCTTGAGAAATTGGGGGTTAACGGAATCCTTGCGCCGCTCCAGCATGTTCGATCATCACCCACCCTCTGCCGACTTCACGGCCGGTCTCGGAGTAGACCACGTCTAGTCCGGATTGACGAGCAAAATCTTTGAGATCCTATAGAATGTCCCCACGTGAGTCCATGTCCAGGTAAAGTGGTGGGAATCCGGAGGCTCCAGGTGGACGTCAAAGCAGAAGACAAGACAGCAAAGTACATGTGGGCAAGGCGGTGTCAGATCACTGGGTTCCGTGGAAGGGGGGCTGTATCCGTGTCGGTCTGACGCTGTTCCGTCAAAGTGGAAAATGTCCAGGACCTTGTTGATCGCAGGTCTCGACCGGCGGAGCTCTACCATCCCGCCCCCCGAGAACGGCCCGGCGGCAGAGTGGAGACCTTCTCCCCACCGTCCAGAGCGGCTAAGATGGAGGCACGATAGGCTCCGCCGAGCCAGAGCCTTTTTTCGAGATCCATGGAGCGTCTCCCGCTTTGAGAACGGAAAGAGAGGTAGAAGAGAAAACGGAAAAAACAGCAGAACAGAGGGCAGTCATCGAGCAGTGAGTATCCGAGCTGGGTGGTATCCGGGGAATCCTGAGAGAAATGGACGTGGACTGCTAACCTGCCAACTTGTTTCCGGGAGTCCAGAAACCATCATGCGAAAGATTGTGCGCCGAGGACGAGGCAAAGCCGGACGGTCCATGGGGCCAGGAGGGTTCTCCTTGCGACGTGGCCCGCGCGCGAACTGCACCGTGAGTCGTTCACCTTTGAAATCGGAGCCGTCTACGAAACGTTAGATCCTGGGATATTGCGACGTTGGAGCGATGTAGTACATACGGAAGGCTGATGGAGAAAAGGTTAGCCACATGCGACCACGCGGTCAGCGCAAAGCCGGGAAATAGCGGTCTTACCGGGAACAATGTCTCTGGCATCCATCGCATCCTCATACTCAATGAAGCCGAAGCCGTTCATCAGCTTGATCTCGGTAACCTTGCCGGAGCCATGGGTACTAAAATGTTCCTCGATGTCTGGTTTAGTCACTGGGATAAGACTCACAGCGTCCGCAGGGAACGCCGTGACACATGTTAGCTCACTCGCATCAAACGGATAGACAACTCCAGAGATTCATTACGGGGCCACCTTGGGATGTCCAGAAATGGGTCAGACGGGGGCAAGAGAGAGGGAAGGGGGAAACACAAAGACAACGACAACGATGCGACCGATTGGCCGTAGGCGCGCACAAGGTCTGTCGTCCTCCAGCTGGGCTTCCTATGCGGGAACCGTCGGTGTGACGCCGCCGGGGAACGTCCACACATCCGGGCTGAAACAGGCAAGGGAACCTCTTGGGGGAGTTGTGGGAGAAAGATTGATTGATTCCAGCATACCGTTGCGGGGAAGATTCCCGAGATAGAGTCGAGTGGAAGAAACCTCCGTCATGCTGGTGGTTGGATGTCGCAGCGGAATGGAAACAGAGAAAGAAATGAAGAAAATGAATGCGCACGATTGAGCGCTAAATTCCAAGACGGATCTGGCCTTTGGAAACCGTGGAGGTTCAAGACGATCCTATCAACCGGCGTGGGAGTAAACACGGTCGTGCAAAGAAAAATCGAAAGTAAAGATAAGAAAAGGTCGGGCCTGGGGATCAACTAGCTATAGTCCTCGGATCTGGCGATAGTTCCGGGTAGTGTGCATCCACAGTTGAAAGGCGCTCCGGAAAGTCAACTAGCTAGCCGGTGGGCCTAGTGAGGAGGGGCTGGAATGTTGGGACCGTGGAAGGACCGATTCAATATCCAGTTTGGCTTGGAAATGCACGGAGATTGGAGACTAGGATGCCAATGACTCGTATGTGAGACACTGACTGGGGACGAAGGATGGAAGAGAAAGCTAGAGGAGAGAAAAAGAATGAAGAAGAGGGGAAGAGTGAGAAAGAGAAGAGAAGAGAGAGAGAGAGAGAGAGCGAGACCAAGGCTAGTTTAGTAGATCGATCGCAGGTTGACCGCCAGGCAAAAAAATATAATCATGATAAATAGTACTGGATAGAAAGTAAATTAAATTAAATTAACAGGAGACAAGAATTAATAATAGGAATAGTAAGATAGATAATAACATGGATGAGAATATGGATAGTAATACTAATACCCAGGAATATGAAACAGGAGAAGAAAAACTAGAGCCAAAAAGTACAGACCAGGATGACTCCGTACTAACGGGGGAGACATCCATACCATACACTATACGACCGAGTGACTTGTCACTTGTACATCCAAAGTGAGGCGGATGTCTTTGCCCTGGACCATAATCCACGTGGCCCCCGCTGCTCCCTTTCGGAGTTAATCCTGTCAGTCTGTCAATTGTCGCTTCACTCTGTGGTATTCTGAGTGTCATGTCGGGTTTGCCCGATGCGGTATGTGGTACATTCTTCTTAGTCTAGTACATACCTTACCTACCTATGATTTCATGTACTTCTTCGACTGTCACTCTTCTCACCTGTAAAGATTGATGGACCTTCTATAGATCACGTATTCACGTGGGCAGAACCATCCACGCCGAACCCAGATGAAGCACCCAATCCCTACTAAGCAATCAGTATACAATGTACTCGATCGGGCGGACCGCCCGGTGTATTTCCACGGTTCAAGTGGCGGATAATCCCCACGCGGATCAGCCCCGAGATCGTAGATGCACTTCTTCCTTTCCTCCTCCCCGACCGACGGCGTAAACTTTGTCCATCTTCCATCTTCATCTTCCGTCTTCCGCCACTGATATCATCTCATGTGATCAAGGCAATCAATACAATCAAGTAAGCTCGTTATAATAGTTACTATAAGGTAGGAGAATAAGGTAATGAAAATGAACTTCTATATACAGACAGACTCCGTGCCAAATTCACTCCAGTCAAGTCAAGAAACGCGAGGGCTTTTCGTACACATAGATATTCAACATAGGACCAATGTGGTTATGGACAACCGCAACGGAACCAACTCCGCCACGCAGTCTAGCAAGCAACTCCAATACGGTATAAAAAGAAACAATCAAAGGGTAAAAAAACGAAATGGGACAGAAAGAGACGGGGCTTAGGTCATGAAATACTTAGGACCCTCGCCTCCCTGAGGCGTCTGCCAGTTGATGTCTTGCGTCGGCACCTTGATGTCGCAGGTCTTGCAGTGGATGCAGCTATGTCGTGTTAGCGGTGTTCACCCGGATGGGATATCAAGAGGAAAGGGAGAGAAAAAACGTACTTCTGCGCGTTGATCTGGAAGCGAACCCCGTGCTCCTTGCTCGGGTCCTCCACGTACTCGTACACTCCCGCCGGGCAGAACCGGTTCTCCACCCCCTGGTACAGCGGCCACGCCGCCTCCGTGTGCTTGTCCCAGTCCTTCACCTGGAGATGCACCGGCTGGTCCTCCTCGTGGTTCGTCCCCGTGCGGCTCACGCTCGTCAGGATGTCGAAGCTGATCTTGCCGTCCGGCTTGGGGTACTCGATCTTCTCGTACGCCGACGCCGGCTTGGTCGCCGCCGCGTCCGTGCCGTGGTGCCGCAGCGTCCACGGCGTCTTGCCCTTGAACAGGTACGCCTCCAGGCCCGAGTACATGATCCCGCCGTAGAGGCCCAGCGGGGTGCTGAACGACGGCCGCATGTTCCGCACCTCGTACAGCTCCTTCCAGATCGACGACTTCCGGAGAGCGTCCTCGTAGTCGAACAGGAAGACGGTGCCGCCGCTGTCATCCTGGAGGGCCGAGAACGTCGATTCGGCGGCCAGCATACCCGACTTCATCGCCGTGTGGGTACCCTTGATCTTCGGGACGTTCAAGAATCCAGCACTGTCGCCGATCAACGCTCCACCGGGGAAGGCGCACTTCGGGATCGACTGGAAGCCACCCTCGTTCAGCGCACGCGCACCGTACGAGATGCACTTGCCCCCTTCCAGGACGTCCTTGAACAGCGGGTGGTGCTTGAGCTTCTGGAACTCGCCATACGGAGACAGCCACGGGTTCGGGTAATCCAGACCCACCACCAGACCGACACTGACCAAGTTGTCGCCGAAGTGGTACATCCACGCGCCGCCGTAGGTGTCCTTGGGCAGAGGGTAGCCCATAGCGTGGACAATCTCACCCGACTTGAACTTCTCCGGCTGCACCTCCCAGACCTCCTTCAGGCCCAGGCCGTAGGTCTGCGGCTGGCTGTTGCGCCGCAGATCGTACTTCTTGATCACCTGCTTGGTCAAGCTGCCGTGGCAGCCCTCGCCCAGAAGGGTGACCCGCGCGTGGAACTCCATACCCCGCTCAAAGCTGTCCTTGGCCTTGCCGTCCCGGCCGACGCCGAGGTCATTGGTGGCCACACCGAGCACGGAGCCCTCGGCGTTGTACACCAACTCACTCGCGGCGAATCCGGGGTAAATCTCCACACCCACTTCCTCGGCCCGCTCACCCAACCACTTGGTCAATTCGTTCAAGCTGATGATGTAGTTGCCGTGATTGTGCATCTGCGGGGGTGCGGGGATGGGGTACGCCGAGTTCTCCGTCAAAAAGCGCATCTTATCCTCCCCCGCGGGCGTGGCGCCCTCAAACCGCGACGGGTTGTCCTCCGACAGCCAGTCAGGCAGCAGCTCGTTAATCGCCGTCGGCTGCATGACATTGCCCGAAACGATGTGCGCGCCCAATTCACCAGCCTTCTCCAGCAGGATGACCCGGAACTCCTCGTTCCCCGCGTCATTGGCCAATTGCTTTAGTCGGATAGCGGCAGCGAGTCCGGCGGGACCTAGTTTAGCGGAATGACTCGGTTAGCCACGGCGAGGGGAAACTTTTCGCGATATGGGACGTATCCGCCGGAGTGCTCCTTACCTCCACCAACGACACAGACGTCAACCTCGTCCGTCTCCCTGTCCACCTGACGGGGGTCGAAATGTCCATTCTCATCCGTGAGTCGCTTCGACAGCGACTGCGAGAACGCCCGCACCTGGCCGGGAGTCCGGCTCCGGGGGAATAGTGATGAGGGACGAGCGGCTTGTCGTGAAAGGGGACTGTTGGCAATTCGGGTGGCATTTGCGGCGGAGGTTCTGGAGGCCCACGACGAAGCGGGTCGCAGTTCTCGCCTCAAGAGAGGCAAAACGGCACCTCTGGAGGCCATCTCGGGAAGGATGGCGGAGGGTCGGAAGGGATCGAAGGAGGAGGGTGATTAGTGTATTGGAGAGATTCTATACCAAGCAAAGAGACATATCAAGTGGGAGAAGAGTAGGAAAAGAAAGGAGTTCGCGCGAAGTGAAGCTAGGTAAACGAAAAGGAAACCCAGTAGTTCAAACCTCGGTGGTTGACACAATTCAATCGGGGCTCCCCCCTCCGTCAATCGGCTCGGAGGAAGTGCAGATGACTAAGGCACTTGAGGCGGGAGCAGCCTCAGTCAGCATCCGTATCCGAGGTTATGTCTGCCAATGGGAGCGCAGGTGATGGGAATCAAGTCGTCTGTCTTCAGCCGGCGTTCCGCCCGCTATCCGCCGTTACTACTCGCCCCAATAGTCTTGCTTCGATGTCATCTAGTCCCTAACTTACTTGCCGATTAACTACTAGGTACCTACTTAAACAAACCAGCGATTACTAATCATCATCTTCCTAAATGATATCAGGCATGGGATGCGTCGTGACTAGCCCTTAGTAGGAGCTTAAGAGAAGCTTAGTCCATGTGATTCCTGGTCATCATCCGGGGAGGAGAAATCAGATCCGATCTCGTTTATCGATCAAAGTACGGAGTACATCATTGTACTACACGCTACATAGTACATACTCATGACTCACAAATCCATATATCATCATAGCGGGATCCCTCTGTGAGACACAACTATATCAATAGAGGGGGTCTTCTTCCTAGCTCATACGCCTATAAGAAGTGGCCAGCCTGGTCACCCCGAGGGGCAATCACATGAGCGACCAGAGAACCAGAGAACCAGAGAACCAGGATGTTGCGGTGGCTTGCTGGGAAACGACGTCATCTGACACGTGATGGTCCGCGTCGCCGGGGCTACAGTCCGTCTGTTGAACAGGCTGACAGCTTCTCGAAAACACCCTGCATTTACTTTCTTTCTTTTCTTCTTTTTCACCCATTTTCCTGTTTTCTCACTCGAGTAACCTTGTCACGGAGTTTACCAGCCGGATATCTGACAGCGTATTGATGGTCCGGGGGTCCGTCATCTCCCACACTCCCGTCCAGTACGACCCTCAAAAACAGTGGGATTCAGGAAACAGTGGGAATACCTTCCAGTACGGTAATGTAGGCAGGTATTCAGCATACCGCATCGGCATGTAAATTACCATTTCGGTGGCAGCGGGAAAGGCCACTTGTACTCTTGACGGGAACCAGTACTGATTACGTACCCGTGACGGAAACCCCAAGCGCCAAGCCAAACCACCGAAAATCAAACCCAGAGATAAGTTAACTAGTTAGAACAAGGAAAAGACCTAATCAGAGACTCGGGGGCGTTTGTTTGCGCCTCCACCAGCGCGCAAGTTCAACCGAACGATCCGTTCGACTAGCAATCACACTGCCGTAAAAAGTTGGCGGATCAACTCGGTGGATCACAAAGTGTGTAAGATCTGGGGAAGGCGAAAAAAAAAAGAAAAAGAGAGAGAGAATGTTGTCGGGCTAGGCAGGCGAGGTGTATAAAGACCGCCAATCAGCACGTCACGGCTCCCTAAGATAGAGGCTCCTCCAGGATCCGATCGTGAGACCCATGATCCATCCATACGTAACATGCCCTGTCTTTCAAGAAATTTCGTTTATGCTTCGATAGATCAGAAGCCATGATAGACACGAACCAAAGGATCTTGCGTTGATTCTCTTTATCTGTTTCTTTTTTCTTTTGTACTTCTTCTTTCTTTTTTCTTTTTGATTTGCTGTTCCTTTTGTTGTAAGTGATGTTGCTATAAATATTGATATCATCGGTGGACAAACAAGGAACCTGGGGTTGGAATAGGGGCATAAACAGAGTGAGGAAGAAAGAGAAAGATCTTTATGCAAGCGACCGGCAGAAAAGTTCTGGTTTGAACATCACATTAAAGCGGCAAGGTGATAGGCAGATGGACAAACGCGTCGCGAGGGGAACACCGAGAACAGCAACGCGACCGGAAGAGTGATTGGTGTTTGGGGAGTTGGGAGTGGGACGGTGAAGCCGACTCATCCTGGGGACAGTCGCCAGTCACTGCACCCACGCAGTGGTAGTAGCCTGGTAGGATGACTAGGTGGTCAGCGCGAGTGGCTGCAACCATGGCGCCGGTCCAGGAAAGAAGTAAATAGTCATAAAAAATAAAATTATGAAAAAAAAAGAATTCAAATAAAAAAAATTCAAATAAAAAGAAATGAGAAGAAAAAAAGAAAGCAAAAAAAAAAAGAAAAACAGCATCAGAGATTGTCAACCAAACAGAGCGTGCTGAGACCTTCACACAGTGGGTCACCCAGACAATGAGGACAGAGTGGAACCGCCGATCAACAAACCAGAGGTGGAGGAATGGAGCGCTTGCTGGGGAGGGAGGGGGAAAGGAAGGATGAAAGGTTGGCCACCCAAGAGCCGCTAGTAGCAGTCCAACCACTCTCCATCCATGGGCCAAGGTGACCAAAGTGACCGCCCACTCACTGGTTTTGCCGCCCGTCGCCGGGCCCAGCCTCCCATTCTCTCTCGTTCTCTTCCCCCCCCTGACCACACTGAAACCACCCTATATAAAGGCCCAACCTCCCACTTTCCCTCACTCTTGGATTTTTTGATTCTGGTCTTGGCACCGCCCGGAAAAGCCATACAGTCACCCTTCTTCCCACCCGCCTTCCTTCCACCCCCTTCTCTCTCTCCGCGCTCTATTAGAGATCTAGCTATATCATTTAGCATTCTCTATCCTCTTGTGGCTTGAAAAATACCTTTTTTTTTCTGAAGAATTTCTGGGAAGAAATTCATTAGGACGGGCAAAAAAAAAAAAAAGGACCCAAAAAGGAAAGAGAAGGATTATTAATACTCTTTAGTCCTCTGTCCACCCGTTTCGGTAACTCTTACTGAATTAGGAAGGTTGCAGCCTCACCTCTTCGCCTTCCTCGGTGTGCTTCTCCATCACACTCTCTTCTTCGTTCACCCAGATAGACATCCCAAATTCCAGAAAAGGCAAAAAAGAAAAAAAGAAAAAAGAAAAAAAGACCTGTTGCGTGTTTGAGCTTCACCACCAAAAAAAAAACAGTGTTGTTTCTGTCCACTCCTTCCTCTTGTGACTGGTGCCTGTTTATTGTCTTTTAATAGTTGTGCAAGCTACCCTTCTTGTGTTTTAAATCCCCTAGAAAAACACTTGGCTGTGCTTTTTCTAGTCTTGCTGTCTTCCACATTTTCTGGCTTCGTTCCCTTGATCCTTTGACCTCGTGGTTGGGTTCTTTTGACATCTTGATCTCAAGGCTTGTCACTGTGGCTGGTGACCTTGTTGGGCTTGGTTCTCTTGTGTCTTTGTGAAATCAAGACACATCACTGTAGGGGAGACATTGAGTTGTTCATCTCCCACAAAAAGGCGAAAAGGGTACGTGATCCTCTCACTCTTTCTTTTCTTATCTCTTCACGTGTGTGAATGATGTTGGAGAGAAGATTGTTGCTGGCGGCAACAATGGCGGTGGCAATATTGCTTTATTGTCATCGCTGACCGCCCTGGTTGCCACTGTTCCTCTTGTCATTTGCCTCTCATTCTTGACTTGAAATTCTTTATCTTTCGCTACCTTCTCCACTACCCCATATGCCCATGTGGTCTGGGTTTGATCTTTCTGTGTCACCCATCTGACAGATTTGGATCGTGCAGATTGTCACTTGCAAGCTCTTGCATACCTTCAGCGTTTGGCTGGTTTACGGCTCGAGTCTACTTCTCAGGTCGCAATGGACTCTCTTACCACCCACCCCTCGAACGCCATCCAGGCGAGGGCGTTTACCTCCCCTGCCTCGCTGTCCTTTCCCGGTGGTGCTGGTGATCTGACTCCGCCCTCGGAGAAGGATGGGAATATGGCAATGGGTGCGCAGGGTGTGAACGGACACGTGAACGGTCAGCAGCAGGGAGGGAATGCCTCTGCCGGCAATGGGGTGACGCCCACGACTCCCGCTACTCCCGTCGCGACCCCTGGTGCTAACACACCGGGGAGTGGCATCGTGCCGACCTTGCAGTGAGTATACTCTTGCTGTCTTTTTCTGGGCTCATCAGAGTACTGAACAAGTCTTTTCTTTTTTCTTAAGAAACATTGTCGCTACTGTCAATCTTGACTGCCGTTTGGATTTGAAAACCATCGCACTTCATGCAAGAAATGCGGAGTACAACCCTAAGGTATACACATCCACACCTCCCTGAATTTTTTTTTCATCAGGGCACAGTGTGGCTGAACTGTTCTTTCCTAGCGTTTCGCGGCCGTGATCATGCGTATCCGGGAACCCAAGACCACCGCGTTGATCTTCGCCTCGGGCAAGATGGTCGTCACGGGTGCCAAATCGGAGGACGACTCCAAGCTGGCATCCCGGAAGTATGCGCGTATCATCCAAAAGCTCGGCTTCAATGCCAAGTTCACGGATTTCAAAATCCAGAACATCGTCGGCTCCTGTGACATCAAGTTCCCCATCCGTCTGGAGGGGCTGGCTAGTCGCCATCACAACTTCAGTTCTTACGAACCTGAACTGTTCCCTGGTCTCATCTACCGTATGATGAAACCGAAGATTGTGCTTCTTATCTTCGTCAGTGGCAAGATCGTCCTGACCGGCGCCAAGGTCCGTGAGGAGATCTACCAGGCGTTCGAGCTGATCTATCCTGTGCTGTCTGGTAAGAGGACATTCGGAGACTCGTGGTGTACCGCGACCGGAGGCTAACCTATTACTGCAGACTTCCGAAAGGTTTAAAACCCTTGGAAGTAGATGACCAGGAAGGTCGTATCATCCTTCTTCCTCCCCCTTCCTTCACCTTTCCCCAACTTGTATTAACACCACTTTTTTTTCACGCGGGGTTGTATTATGAGCACGGCTAGCCTTACCCCTGTGGCTTTCGGTCGCTGCTTCGTCCTTCAGCTCTCCCTTGACGATGTTTCATGCTTTGCATTTGTACGGCGTTCTAGCGACTCGGTTACATACTACCTTGCTGCTTCTTCACAAAGTTCTACCTTTTATGTCCCGTTTTGTTTGCAATTAGATAAGTCGCACACCGCAAATCAAGGGGGCGGTACTGTGCGCTGGTCGAATGGTTGCCTCCTACTAATTATTGGCTTGGCGTTCTCACCGAGGCTGGTCTGTCCAACTGGACTGAGACCTTGGCCGGTTCCTGTTTCGAAAGAAACGAGGAAGATAGGTTGAGACAAAAAAAAATTCCTTTTTAGCTTTTTTTACTTTTTTTTTTTTTTATCTACCTCACCAAAAGAGGAATCTCGCCTTCGAATCTTCGGACCTTTCGGTCGAGGAGAAGGTCGTTGAAATGCACTTGTTGCTGGATTGAGCTGCTCTTCAGTCTTATGATAGTTTTTACTAGCCAGAGAATGGAGAATAGTCGTAACCAATTTTCTGTTATTTATTATTATTCATGTAATACCGTAGATTGTCTTTGGCTATGTGCAGCCGTACGAACATATATACTAGGCTATACACGTACAACATGAAACTATATACATCCCCACCGAGAAAAACCACCAACAATGCCCCAACAACAAGAACAACAAATACATATATCAAACTCAAACATCCAATGATCTAAATAATTCTAAATCTAAACCAAAAAGACTCAGACAACAAAAAAGGAATCACAGACGCGAACCCCCTCTCCCAACCTTCTTCCCCCTCGCCAACTCATCCATCAGCCTCACCCCCTTCGGCCCCGACCGACTCCCATCCTCCGTGCCGTCGAACTCCCCCGGCGACGCAGCAGCAGCCGGCCACGTCCACAGCGCGCGCAGCTCCGCCTCCAGCTTTCCCTCCAGCGCGTCGACGATCTTGTCGCCCAGCACGGGGAAGAACTTGTATCCGTGGCCGCTGCCGCCTGTCGCGAGGAAGAGGCCTTCCTGGGTGGGGTGGTGGTCGACTATGAAGTCTCCGGAGGGACTGTTCGTTTCCGTCGTGGTTAGATGGGATATAATGTAGTTGGGAAAGGAGAAGGGAGGGGGGGGGGGGGGGGGGGGGGTGGTTACGAAGGGGGTAGTAGGGATGGAAGGAGGGGGGGGAAATGGAAGACGTACGTATCCGTGTACCAGCAAATCCGACTGCTAACAAACGGCCGATCCGCAAAAGCAGGTAACAGTTCCTTGAGCGCGCCGCGGAACGCCTCTTCTCCCTCCAGCGGGATGGGCACGCCCGCTTCAGGCAGACTGACCTCCATCGTGGAGGTGGAAGCCTGACCACCCAGCACGGGGACAGGGACAGTCTTGGGATTAACGTAGCCGTAAGCGTGGCGGGCGATCTTGAGCAGATTGTTCCGCGGCGGAATGATGAACATGCCCGTAGCGAAGTTCAAGATAGTGGGCATGTTCTCCAGCTGGCGCTGCTCGTCGTCCGAGATGCGCATGTATGCTAGTGCCTGGCCGGTTGAGACGGCCCGCCCGCGGAGGTCGACGAGCTGGGTTGTCCAGGCGCCTGTTGCGAGGATGACGAGGTCGGCTGTGAGGGTTGTGCCGTCGGCGAGGACGACGCCTGTGACCTTGTTGCTGTTGCTGGTGTCGTGGAGGAGGGAGCGGGCTTCGCCCGTGAGGAACTTGACCTTGCCGGCTTTGTCGAGCTGCTGCTTTTTGAACCGCACTGTCGCCTCGGCGTCTGACCAGCCTGAGCCCCAGTTGACATAGCCGCCTGCGACGTCGAGGTTAGGACCGTAGGCCGGGGCGGCGCGCACGACGTCTGCCGCGGAGGGCAGCATCTGGACGAGGGACTCGTCTGCTTCGAGCTGGCGCACGTTCTCGTAGCTCTTGATGGCGTAGTGGCGGGCGTTGGTGTCGCCGGAGGGGTAGACGAGGACGAGCCCGCTCTGCGTGTACCGTCCGTCTTGGCCCCATTCGGTGGTGCGCCATTTGGCGATGGCTTCGGCGGCGAGCTTCGTGTACACGGGGTTTGAGTAGTCTGCGCGTACGATGCGCGAGGTGTCGACTGAGGAGCCCTGCGGGTTGGGGATTGTTGGGGAGGATTCCAGTAGGGTGATTTCGCTGGTTGGGTGACGGCGGCAGAGGGAGTCGGCGGTTGAGACTGTTTAGTCGATTAATACTTTTGTGTATCGGTATCATCCCATCTATCTGTCTTTGACGTCTGGGGGTAAATTTATATGTGGGGTGGGGTGGAGGGTTGAAGCAATTGATTGTACTTACGTCCGAAGACACCTCCCCCCACGATTAAAATCTTTTGCGGCAAAGACATGGTTGGTTTCTGTGCTATAGAATATGTACCGTAGAGAGGATGAAGGTGTAACTGCAGTGTGGGGGAAGAATGTCAAAATGCCGATAAGGATTGTGTGACTCCGCGTTCTCCAACGCCGATCTCGCTGCGTTCATCTTTTAGCTCGGCTTTCTCCCGACTCAACCACTCCATCTTCACCTCCACCATCTGGTTTATACGTGAGCCCGTCAACAAGGACCACTTTATACCAATCCTGCATGCGCGACTACCACTTCGTATAGAGTCACAATGAGTGCATCACGGGTCGGTCGGGCGGCCCTGAAAGCAGGCAAAACGCCCATCTCAGGCAAAGGCCTCAAAAAGCCCATCGACAGCCCAGGGTATCTTCATCCTCACCCATCCCACACTCTTCAACATAAACTAATACAATGAATCCAGAAAACCCCTCCCCAAACGCGCCAACCCCCACCTCACAAACCTCCACGCCAACCCTCCCTCCCCAACCCACAAAATGTCCCCCCGAACCCTGACCATCTTCGGCGTCGGCGCCCTCGGCATCAGCACCTACTGCGGCTTCCTATACGCCTCCTACCGGCGCGAAGTCGCACAATCGCAAACCCTCTCCGTCCCGGAAGACGTCTCCGACAGATACAACCACACAGCGCGCACCTTCGACGCGGACGTCGCCCTCTCCGAGAAACTAATGCGCCTCGGCGCCAAGCGACGCGATCTCGTCCGGCGCGCCCGCGGCGACGTCCTCGAGGTGAGCTGCGGCACGGGTCGCAATCTCGAGTACTACGAGCTCGGCGCGGAGAAGGCCAAGGGGTGTCGGTCTGTGACGTTCGTGGACCTCAGTCCGCAGATGGTGGAGATCACGCGCGAGAAGTTCCGCAAGCTGTTTCCTGGGTTTGGGAATGTCGCGTTTCGCGCGGAGGATGCGCATGCCGTGACTACGGGCCCTCCTAGTCCTGCTGGTGGTGCGGCGCGGGGATGCTACGATACGGTCGTGCAGACGATGGGCGTCTGCTCGATGCCGGACCCTGTCGGCGCGCTGCGCCATCTGGGCAGTATTACGGAGCCGCAGAGGGGCCGGATCTTGTTGCTGGAGCATGGCCGCTCGTACTATGACTGGCTGAATCGCGTTCTGGATAATTTGGCGCCGGCGCATGCGGATAGGCATGGGTGCTGGTGGAATCGGGATATCGGGGCTATTGTGCGCGAGAGCGGGCTGGAGGTTGTTGAGGAGAGACGGTGGCATTTTGGGACGACGTGGGAGTATGTGTTGAGGCCAAGGAGGTGATCTTTACTTTTTCTTCTTCTTATCTTTTACCTTGTTTTTATGTTTTTGGGCTATAGACTACTGTGTACATTAACTATGATATCCTCACGTGTACTATATTGTACTATATTATTGACAGTTCTGGTCTACTATCACGTGTAGAGGCAGTATACAAGATGGCGGTGAAACCCAACTATAAACAGTAGATACTAAACACGATAAGACACAGTATACGATAATCACCCAGGAAACTCAGCATCTCGTCAGTATTACCACACACACGGGAGAGCGGACCCTGCCGGAGAAGTATGACCAAGTCGAGCGGACCTGACGGAAGAAGAAGCAGGATGAAGTCAACATGGCGTACTCCCTTCCCTGCACATGCGGGGTCGGATAGCGTAGCGGCTGCCGACGCGGCAGACGACGCAAGGCGATGCTTGTAGATTATTGATTGACGCAGGCGCGGATGGGTCTTGTGTTTTAGAGGAGATGGGGTATTTATTGGTTGGAGGGAAATGCCTCCAATGTTGGTGTTGGTGGTTGTGGTTGTGATTGTGGTTGTGGTGTGTGGGGGATATATATATATTGGGTCTACTACGGAGTATCTAATCGTACTATCCTACCTAGGTGGTGTATCGAAGACATGATTGGAGTTCTTGGACTATTCGAATCATTCCAATTGTTACTGGGAGGATTGGATATTTAAATTGATTGTACATATTGCAGTCGGTGTTGACATATCTGTCGAAATTGTATGTGCTAATGACTGCCTCGATATATCATTTTGAGGTTACAAACAAAAGTAAATAGTGAACCCCAAACAACATGGCACGGACCGTGATATATAGTTTATAAAATACGGTATAAATCTCCCACATTGCATGAAATACATAATATCCATGCATGAACAGTCGTACAGAGTATAGACTGCCCCATCCAGATACAGACTACAAGTACAGACTACAGACGCAGACAATCCTGCACGGTACAGGTCACAGACAATGCAGGCTCCGGCAGTGGGACTTGCGTCCGACTGAAGGATGGATGATCTTTGATTTCCATGGGGTCCTCAGTGATAGACAACCCCAGATAGGTAAGATCTGTTGTCTATCATAGACACCAGATACCAGACACGAGTACAGTCGGCATGCAGTGGCCAGGCAACTGTAGAGAGTAGTCCACCCGTGAGACACACTATGGCCTTAGTAGGGAAGGAGATAGACGACGGGTGGATGGAGTCGTGGTCGTAGGGATGGAATGATAGACATTGATGGTATCATCGTCTTTGTCGTCTCTGGAGAAAGGCTGATCCCTTGCTGCATCGAGCGATACATCACAATAACAACGCGTGGAGGGATGCACTCGAGATATGGATGTTTCCACTCCGTGTCTGGAGGAGGATCGCATCCACGTATGGAGTTGGAATCACATCGTATATTGACCTCTTATCTTTATGCGACGAACATGGATGTTAGCCAGTCTCGCTCTCTAGGTTCATTCTATTTTTCTTCGATTTTGATTCCCCCTTCTTTTTGACTTTTTTTTTTTTGACTTTTTTCTTCCTGACTTACTTTCTTCCCATGTCTTTCTTTGTTTAGTTCCAGACTGTCTTAGTGCCGACTCCATCTATCCCATCCGATTGGAGTCTCTTCCAACCCTGGTATGTTCTCTCCCCACCGACCACGGTCTGATTCGTCGTGAGAGTTTCAAACGGCGACGCTAGGAACGATTTTACCCTTGGGAATGTTCGTTTGGGCAGTGGAGCCCTTTTTTTTTTTCTTTCTTTTTTTCAGGGTTAGGCTGGGTGGGGATATGTGCATATGTTAGTTGCATCCATCGGCATTAACCCTGTCCTGTCGTTAGTGTTTTTTTTTTTCTACCTAGCTAGCTCGTTCGGTTCCAGTTTCAATTTCATTTTAGATCAGATTTTTTTTTTTTCCTCGTTGGATCTGATCCGGCTTGACCGGTGCGAGTTGATGAGGATACTTGAGTAAGTTGGATCTATCTCTAGACGGAGTAATCTATTCTATAGTATTCTATTAGATTACGTTACATTATATTCTCTCCATTCTATTTGCTATATTGTATTCTCCTGACTCTATGATCGATGTGCAGGAATAAGGACCATGGTTGGGTCCAGCCATGATGCATTTACCCGTATCTCCTGCAGCTCTTCGGTGACAGTCGGTCCTGAGTGGCTTACTGGCTTGCGACGGCGACGCGCCGTCCTAGGTTCCAACAGGGTCGAACAAAAGCCCAGGCAACCGTAGAATAGAGTAGAGATGACAGGAGAGAGTCAAGCGGTCATAGTAAAAGATAGTCGGTGAGCATGAGATCGTCGTTGACTTGACATTAGGCTATTATTCTTATGTTAGATTATTGTATAGCAACCTCGTTTGTAGTCGAGAGAATCTACTTGTAGGGCTCTCGGGTTGTTTGTTTGTTGTCAATCGGACTAGAGACGCAGCAACCAACATCTCCCGGACCAACAACAAGGAGGTAGAAATGGAAAAATGGAAAAGAGAAAAATGAAGAATGGAAAAAAATGGACGAGTCGGCTGGTGGTGTCTTGAGTGTATGCAGAATCCCCATTGATCCCCGCCACCACCACCAATGACCGACGCTTGAAAATCATCCTGGTCGCCATCCATGGTACGGCAGGCCCAGTAAACACATGGTTGGCTCCACTGTCTCTTTTTTTTTTCCCTCTCTCTTTTTTGGGCGGGCCATTTTTTGCCCCTTCCCTTTCGGCCGTACTATTTGTTTAGCGCCCTGTTTAGTTGCCCTAAACATGCACAGTCAGTACGAGTCCGTACCCCAGATACCTAGTAACCGATCGATGTCGAAGAATGTACGGTGTACGTCGAATGAATGTCCTAGAGTCGACATGTATAGATCCTCGTCTGTACCTCCAGCGGTGAACAGGGATTCCGCGTCTCATCTATCAATTTTGTTGATTCTTCCCCCCTCCTTGATCTTTTCGTCCCAAAAGGAGGGGTAAAGGAACAGGGCGACCCAAGGCTGGGATAAAAAACACCATCATCATCATATCATCGTAATAAGAATAACCCACTACTAGTAATTATCATAATAATGATAGTCATATTGAGTCATTCCTTGGTCGTTCCTCGTCTTCCGGTATGTTTCGAGGATTCCACTCCATCATACCATCGGATGGAGAGAGAGAAAGACAGGGAAGAATAAAATTAGCAAAAGTCAAGAGAAGCGAAGTAACCGTGGAAGAAGACTGAATAGTACTGACTAGGTTAGTAGTAGGGAGTACTAGGTAGAGCCTGAGAGAAGAGGCTCCATGCTAATCAGCCAATTGACGCCACCCTAAAAACATCCGTTTCTTATTCTGTTATTATTTTCTCTTTCTTCTTTGCCTCTGGATTCCCTCTCAACTGATATTTCTTTTTATTCATTTTTTCTATCTCCACCAAAAACCCACCAGAAGGGAAAAGAAAAAGGAAGATCCACATGATCCCTGAGGCTTCCTGAGATGATTATTATTATTGGATTATTAGTATTATCATTACGATTACTCTCATGATTCCCACCTCTTTCTACTCTCGCGCTCTCCGTTCTCTCCATCTCCCATCTTTGTTTTGTTTTCATTATTCTATCTTCTTATTCTTATCCTTATTCTTACTTAGTCCTTGTTCTGATCTTCCAACCGACCAAACGGATTGTGATCACTGCTCTTCTCCATACCGGGATCCATCGCAACATCATCTTGTCTCTCCCTCCCTTTCCCTCTCTCTCTTCCCTTTCTCCCATCTTCCCATCTTCCATCTCCCCCTTCTTACTCTTCCTCTCTCTCTGGTTTCATCCTTCTATCTCCTCCCCCATCTACTTGTGTGTTCATAGTATTGTCCTTTTATCTCCCTACTACATTACCTCGTATATCTCCCGTGGTTTCTTGGCTCTGTCTTGGTTGTTATTGTTATCGTTGGTCTAGTCTTGTTTTATTACCTATCCATTCCGTCCTTTGTTACCACTGTATCTCTACTCCATCTACCACACCTTATTACTCCTTATTGTTCTCCCCCCCCCACGCCTGTACTTGTACCAACCACCTCGTTCCCCCTTACAATCTTCCTCTTCTCTCCCCGTCCTTTTTCTCTCTTGATCCTGTCATTTTATTATGCCTTACAATACTCGTCGCAAATCGTTGTCCCTGCCATCCTTGGGTATTCACTTGCCGAGTTCCTCCCGTCGCTCCCCGTCTACCACCAAATCGTCGCACGCGACGGATGATCAATTGCCTGCCCCCAAGAAGGTCAAGAGGTCACACCACTCCGGTTCGCTGTCTCCAGAGCCCTCGACCCAGGTAAAGGGGCAATTCGCCCGTCCCTCGGGACGACGCGCCACCGTCGAGCACACGCCACCCCCGTCGCCGGCCGACCTGGTCGCCCCCAAGATCGACACCGAAGGGATCAGCGATGACATCGTCGTCGGCGTGATCGAGCAGTTAGAAAAGACGGGCAACCGCCCGCACTTGGTCAAGGAGCTCGCTGCTATCCTACTCTCCTTCAACGACAATGTCGCAAAGTACGCGCTCTCCTTTCTGTGATCGTCTCGGTGATGTCGGTTGGATGTGCTAACCTCGATTGATTATAGCTCTGCAAATCCCGCCGCATTATTATCTTCGCGGTTAAATACATATATGAAACGTCCCTGGACGGCCCTCGCGCCGTGTCCGTTGGCCAAGGAGTTAATTCCCGTTCATCCGCGGAAAGTGTATTATTACCTCAACTCGATGCCGCGCCAACCCTTCCCAGAGAACTCGGACGATATCGTCATTCCCGGGATGGAGGGCACCAGCATCACCCCCAGCGTGTCCAGCGTCGATATGGATGATGAGGACGACGCGTTTACCCGTGAGCGATCGCGTCTGAGCCCGAGTCCCGAGGTGGACCTGTCCCCTCCCGAAGACGACGAGAATGCCGAGCTGGGCGGTCGGGACGGCTCCAACAGTGCCGGTCACCGGGCGGACTTCACCGATCCGCACCACGCCCGCCTCTCCAGCTCCCACCGGGCGGCCTCGCCGCCACTGGAAGGCGACGAGAAGGAGTTCACGCAGACTGCCAGTGCTGTTCGCGAGCGGGCCTCGTCGGAACAGAAGGCTAGCCAGTTTGAGGGCGCGCGCGGCGGCGGCTTTTCCGCCCTGACCGAAGGGTTGAATGAGCTCGACGCTCGCATGAACCTCGCCGACTCGCCGGTCGACGATGGCCCCCTGTCCTCCATCAGCAGCGCGCGGTTCTCTGGCAGTCCCGACAGCGACTACTTCTCTCCCAGCGCCTCGGAGCGGTCTCCGCTCGACAGCCCGTTCACCCAGATCTCTGCTCGCGAGACGGCCGGGATCGACCTCCTGGGCACCTCCCCGTCTCCCTCCCTGACCTCCGTGGCCTCGTCGCTCTCGTCGGGCACGAGTGTGGTGTCGGACGATGGCTTGGATACGGATCTTCGTCCCGAGGCCCTCGCCGGCGCCCCGCAGATCAGTCTGCCGGAGGATCCCGACGCGACGCCCGTCTCGACGCTCAAGCGGTCCATCGACATGCTCAACAGCGGGCTCCCCGACCTGGACCTGGAGATGTCCGACCTGACGGAGCCGGACACGAAGCTCTCGCTGCGGACCCAGGACTTTGCCAACACCGACATCGAGATGGTATTTGCCTCCGATTCGTGGCGGGAACTCCAGAGTCCCGAGAGCGTGGATGTCCATGAGCTGGATGAGATGTTCGACGAGATCTGAACCATCTGTCGTCGTCATCTCCCCGCCCCCTTCTCTCCCACGATCGCTCTTGGATCTTCTTTCTCGTCGAGATAGATCCAAGAAGCTTCTTCCTGTTGCACTCTCTACCTTAGTGCCTTCGATCTCTTCATCCTCCCATCTCCTCTTACAATCCTGTACATTTCTGGATTTTTAATGACCGACTCTGCATTTGTTTGTATCTGCTCTTCTGACGAATATGCCCTCTCTACGTGTACATATATCTCATTCCTCTTTCCGCGTTGTCTTTTTATCTCTTGATACCTATCTGTCGTTCATGATCTGTTACATTCTTGGTTGGTTTGATGCTTTCTCTCAACTCTATAGACTGCTTGGGGAGGAACGAAGACGTGATGTGTGGCGGTCCCTGGGTGCCGCCGGACGAAAAGAAAAGTCGGGAAGAAAGGCCCCCAAAAATAACCGGCGTCATGTTCTTGATGTCTCTGTTTTACTATATCTGCTGTTGGTGCGAACCGGTGTACTTAAAATGGAAGGACTTTGCTGAACCTAGAATGATATCTCCTGGATCCCTGCATTCATATCGCGTACCTCGGGCGGGTGTCTGGATGTAATCTGCGAAGAGACGCGATGATTGGTTTCTTATTTTCCCTATTTTGGATCGCGATCTCCACCCATCTTCTCTCTGGAGGTCTGATTGGGTTGATGACGTCGCCGTGTTCATCTAATCCACATCTCGGCTTCCACTGGGAATTCTTCGATCTCGCCGCAGTTCGGCCTGAGGCTGCACGGCCATCAATGCCTGCCTTAGGAAGTCATAGTCTATCTTATCTCTCCTCCATCTATCAATTCTGCGTCCCGTCGAACAATCCTCCCATCCTTCTCCCATCAATCAATCTCCGTCGTCCCCCCGATTCGCCTGACGGATCGCATTCTTTCGCCAAAGTACTTGATATCAATTGAACGACGCCCGATTCACCACGCATGGGTGCCTCCGCAGCATCGCCTTACCAACTCGCCACTCCCACACCCCCCCCCCCCCCCTCCGGTGGAGTGATCCATCACCATGGAAAGCCCATCGCTTCCCCAGTTAGACAACCCAAAGAACACTCGCGAAGCCCTCGCACAGGGAGCGCCCAGTATCGTGCGGACTATGAATACCCCGTCGCGTCTTAGCACCTTGGCCCCCGCCCCGGCGCAATCGAAAATAGCCCCGCGAGGCAATAACGCCGAGAAGAAACGCCCTCTCGCGGGCAATGCGAAGGTCGCCATACCCCGGCAGCACGCTGCCACTCCGCGGTACAGTCGCCGTGTGCCGTTGGCGTGCGAATCGTGTCGACAGAGGAAGACGAAGTGTAGTGGCGATACTCCCGTTTGTCGACAGTGTAAGGAGTTGAGGATTGGTTGTCAGTATCCTGTTTCCTGGCGGGAAAGGACGAAAGGGTATGTTGTGCTTGGTCATTGTGGATTGTTTCTGTCTTTTTTTCTGGTTTATTTGCCATCTGCGCGATTATGGGCTAAGTTGTGCTTATAGGCAGATCAACAACCTTGCCTCTCAGGCTATGGATTATGAGAATTTGTTGAAGGATATTGGCACTTTTGCGGACGGTCGAACTGCTGACCGTATCAAAGGGATGTTGGAGAAGGTATGTGTGACCGTTTGCTGTTTTGCTCATGTTCGACTGGTTAGAATCAGCCGTACTGATACGGAAAAAAGTACTCTGCCACTACGGGGAGCCCATCAGCTAGCTCCCAGTCGCAGTCCGCCACCCCGCAGGATGAAGACAACGATGATGTCGAGAGTCTACCCTCGTCGATCGGTTCCTTGGAAGCCATCGATCGCGTGGAAGAGGATATCAACCGAAACCCAGACTCGAGGGCCACCGGCTACATGGGGAAGAACTCCGAGGTCACTTGGTTACAGAGGCTCCGGAAAGAGACCGAGCAACGCTCCCAGAATCTGGCTGGAACCTACGAGGGCCCGCACGAAGGGGAATTTTCCATCCATGCCATGAATTACCACCTCGACGACATGGACGTCTCTGTCCCCGGTCCGGTGCAGGTTTACAAGATGCCACCGCACCAGGTGGCCGACAGGCTCTTCGAGGACTATCTCACCACCGTCCACCCGTTCTTTCCGATCATCAGCCGCACACTATTTGCCTCCCAGTACAAGACCTTCTTTGACTCGGCCGCTCGTCCCGGTGACAAGTGGCTGGCCATCTTGAATCTGATCTTTGCCATCTCCGCGCGACACGCCCATTTGATCCAGGCTCCGTGGCGCGGTGAGCCAGACGACCATTTGGTCTATCTGACCCGTGCGCGGATCTTGAGTATGAACGGGGATGTGCTCTTCAGCCACCCGGACCTGCAACAGGTTCAAGTGGAGGGCTTGCTTGCATATTATTTACTAGCGACGGACCAGATTAACCGGTGTGTTTCTCCCTTGACAGAACTGACTGCCCCCTCCCCACCATATCTGAACGAACGCTCATCCTAACGAATTCGACAGGGCTTGGAGAATCGAAGCACTGGCTGTGCGGTCTGCTATCACCCTCGGACTCAACATGAAGAACACTAGTGAGCAAACGTCAAGCATCTCCAAAGAAGCACGCTACCGGGTATGGTGGTCTCTTTACACCTTTGAGCACATGCTCGGCATCATGACTGGCCGCGCCACATGCATCCAGGACGGCATCTGCACGACCCCTTATCCTCTACCGTTCGAGGAGGAACGCCTCGCGGAGCCGCCGGCGACGAAAGTCCTTACCGACGGGGACGTACGAGCAGACTTGATCGACAGTGTGGTGTCAAGTGCTCATGTCCGGCACGTCCCGCTCAATCCCCGAGGCGGCAAGGACGCCAAACACACGGATAAACAGCGCGATACCTCGTGGCTGAGGAATCTCCCGCCATGCAACGCCATGGGTTTCACATACTACGTCGACCTTTCGGTCATCGTGCAGGAGATCGTCAACCGCGTCTATTCCCTCGACTGCGCGGTGACCCCGTGGGCGCACATTGAAAATCGAATGGGGGAGCTGAGATCGCGCATCGATCTGTGGCATTCGAATCTCCCAGAAGCGTACGACTTCACCCGCAGAGACGAACACCGGGTCGATCTCCTCCGCAGCAAGCTCTTCCTCGGCTTCCACTACTACAGCGCCCGGATCACCCTGGGTCGTCCATGTCTATGTCGCCGAGACGCGCACCACGCGGGGTCCCCCGACAAGCCACCGACATTCAGCCACGAGATGGCGGTAACTACCTTAACCGCAGCACGCATGATGCTCGATCTAATCCCCGACACGCCCGACCCCCTCCGTCTCTACCAGATCTCCCCATGGTGGTGCATCCTGCACTATCTCATGCAAGCCGCAACCGTCCTCCTCCTCGAGCTGTCATTCGCGTGCATCCACATGCCCGACCACGAAAACAACTTCCTGCTCCTGAGCAAGAAGGCCATCCGCTGGCTATTCGCCATGGCCGATTACGGTCTCGCCTCCCGCCGCGCCTGGGAACTCTGCGATAGCAATTTCCGCCGCATCGCCCAGGGCATGAACTACGATGTCAGCGATCTTCCAACATCGCATTACGCTTTCACACCGGGCGATATACCGACCGACTCGCTGAACTCGGGCCAGACAAGCGGATTCGGCCCCTCGCCGCTGCTTTACGACTTGATCCAGCAACAACAGCAGCAGCAGCAGCAGCAGCAGCAACAGCAGCAACAGCAACAGCATAGTCAACAACTTCCGCAGGACAACTTCCCAGCCACTACCGACCAGATCCTCCCTTCGTATACTGGTGCTCCCACCGCGGATGGAATTCCCCTGAGTCTGCCCATTTCCCCTGGCAACGATGCTTATTTCCCGTATGATCCCATTTGCGGCGAGTTTATCAGGTCGTTCTTCCCTGCGTCGCAGGATGGGGATTATTGGAGTCATCCGCAGGGCTGATTCGTCATCACCTCCTCCTCCTCCTCTCCCCGCCTTCTTCTTGCTCCTCTTCTTCTCTTTTCTCTTTTTTCCTTCTTACATCTTTGATTTCTTTTCCCTTGTAAATATTCCCCTTTTGTACTTAGCTTTTCTCTCCATGATCTGGTCTGGGATATTGTGGGTTCCTTAATCTTCTTTATTATACCTCGGCAGTTGTTTGTCTTTCATGCCTTTCCCCTGTACTCTTTTTTTGCTCTCTTCTCTCTCTTCTTTTCTCCGCTTTGCTTCCGTTCCACACACAGATACGCCGAACAGGGTATACCTCCTGTTATACGAAAGGTTTACGATGATCATGTTTTGAATTTCAGTTAGTGCAAGTCTTATGGCTAGTATGGCCATGGAAAATAGAAATATATGGAATAATACATCGGCTTTGATACTTTATCTATATAAGAGTAGTATGATTATGCTTTATGTGGCGTAAGCAAGCAGCTATGCAAGATGGAAGGAGTATTGGGGGAGGGAATTCTCGTGGTGGGTGATTGAGTTGGTTGATGATGGATGTATTGAAGATAGATAAAGAACCTGGTATCAATACTAGGCGATAGCAAACAGATAGACAAAGTGGATAAATAAACAGCCAATCGGACGAATAAACGAGCATGCTGTAAATGCAATGGAAGAATAGATGTAAATGTAATATAATATAATGTACAAGGAGAAATCCCCTTTCCAAATAAGTGTATATATCACAGTGGTCAAAACAAAGAACAGACGCTAGAAATCTTGTATATAGATAATACATATGCTGAAACTGTATAAGAGTAATATAGTCACCATTTTAGACAGCGGAAAGCACCCCTCAACGTGTCTTAGACTGACCCCTCTCCCTCCGTCGTCGATAGAGCAAACCGCCTACCTCGCGGTTGATCTCGCGGCGGCGAACCCGGAAGGTTTCGAATTTCTCGATGCAGAATTCGAGGATTGGTCGGGCGGGGTTGTGCCTATCGCTGTTGGCGGCCGCTTGTTCGGGTGGAGTTGATTCTGTGGAAGACGAGGAGGTAGAAGAAGACTGGTACTCGTTGTATTCCTTCAAAGCCGCCTGGGCGATGATGCGGATGGTATTAGCGTTGGGAAGCACGGCCTTGCTTTGGATCTGTTTGAAGTACTGCGCGTCGAAGTGTGGGTCGCCTCGCGCGCGGTTGCGCTCTTTGTTCAGGTATAGCCTGGGGATGCCGCCCTCTTGGAGACGGCGGAGAGTTGGCGACTTCAGGTCGAGGCACCATCTGTCCCAGAGGCGCTTGCCGGCTGCGCTGCCCTGCGTGTCGACTATGGCGGAGAGGATCGGGTGGAAGGTTGCGGCCGGGATGTAGGGGATTGCGCTGTGCGGGGAGGGAGAGAAACGGGCGCGGAGGGCGGTGGAGGCGGCTGTTGCGGTGTCTTTGAGGGAGCCGCCTGGGATGGACCGGAAGAGGCGGATGAGGCCGTGGAGGGAGCGGTCTTGGTAGTGGGTTTCGGAGTGGCGGTGGGGTTCGTTGAATTCGCCGCTTAGGAGTCGGCGGAGGATGTCTTTTGCTTGGGTGAGTTCGTTTGTTGTTTGTGGATCGGCGGGGTTCTGTTGAGCGGCGTGCTCGAGACGGATGATCGCCGCTGCGAGCGCTGCGACGTTGCTGTGGCCCCAGGATTTGGCGCGGTATTCGCGCAGGTATTCGAGCATTGGGACGACCTGGTCCCATTGGCCCATTGCGATCCGGAAGTTGAGTAGAGTGCGCAGGATGTTTGCGGAGAGGGGCTGGCCGAGAGAGGAGGTGGTGGCGTCGCAGAGAGCGGTGTTCTTTGTGGCTGCCGCGAACCGGATGATCGCGGGGGCTAGTGCTTGGTCACCGTAGGCGCTGGGAGGGATAGGGGAACCGTCGATGTCGCTGGAGAAGAGCATCCACTCGCCGAATGCATACTCTCGAGACACGGTGACTAGGTCGAGCATATGGGCCAGTGTGATGTTTGAGACCTGCGGGATTGAGGACTCGAACACCCGCAGGGCGGGAAGGCGGGCCATGTCAAACGTAGGGAACCAGTCCACCCTGGGTTGATCTAGTATCGATGAGGAAAAAAAGTCGCCGATGCGTTGCATCTTACTCGCGTCAGTCACGGCCTGTAACCACTCGAAAGCATTGATAGCATCGCCACAGAGTCGCTGCAAGGCGTAATATCGGATGTTGTATTCGATCAGTCCAGACAAGGCCGCAGTTTCATCGTAGAGCTGAGAGGGAGTAAGGGGATCCAGATCCTCGTCCCTCAACTCTAGATTGCTTTCCCAAGGGGGTACGACGTGAGGAGTAAGTCTTAGGAGGTTTTCAAAGGCTTGAGGATCGCTCTTTGCGTCGAAGCCACCCGATTCCAGGACACGCACGGTGAACCAATTGGACGATCTGGACGTTGGGAGAAGCTCGCTGTCGGAACTGGACGGCGTTAACGCGAACTTCAACGACGACGCGGAGCGGATGAGTGCCGTTGGCGAGACGCCTCGAAAACCGAGTCCTAGATATACCAGGTTGGGGAGGTTGTCTAGCAACGAAGCGACGACTTCCTCACTGACCGTCCGCTTCCCCAGCCCATTGAAAGGAGTCGAATTAACCCGTCTCCGTGGGGTCGAGGGGCGAAGGTCACTACCCGGCTGGCGCCACGAGTCTTCCCGGTCGATGTTGGTGTCTCTCACCAAAGTTGAATCTTCCAGAAGAGGTTTCCAACTTCGGAATCCCCACGCCTGGTCCCCTTTCCGCTTTTTCATCTGTTCTATAAGCCATATGCCTTCTGTCACATGACCGTGTTCCACACAGCACCAGAGGATGAATTCCAGCCAGATTTCCGGCCCCAATTCGCGAATACCCATCTTGAATGGTACGTAAGGGGAGTCTTCGCCCGCTGCCGCCGCCTTGGCTGCGACTTCTGCTTCGTGCACTAGCCAGGCCGCATCCGACAGGACACTCACAATATGGGTAGAAAGCAAGTGGATACCCGGAGGTCGAAGGGTGTTCTTGTAGAGTTCCTCCCCAGGGACGTACTTATACACTCTGTCGGAGACCGCACCGGAGTGGTGCATGCGAGCCAGAATTTGGAAGACATAGGACATGGCCAGCTTCGCTTCACTGGGAGGTGCATCGGCCGCATCAAGTATAATCGAGCCCAGAGACGGCCACAGTTCTGCCATGAACCGCTTCGAGTGGTCATCTGCCAGCGGTCGCTCCGTTATCGCGTCAAGGCTAGTAAATCCAGGAACCAGCGGTACCTCTGAGCCCGGCACGAGCCGTGGTACCGGTTTTTGTCGCTTAGCAGTCAGTTCATCCAGCGATTCCGACGAGCCCAAGCCCCAGTCAAGATTAGACAGCGGCCGGGATGGGACTGCGACCTCGTTGAGGGTGTCCGCGGCATCCAGCAAACGGTTCAACAAGGCGTGAACCGCAGGCCAATTGTGTTTCCGAAATCCCAGCTGTGACAAAAGGCCCAAGTTTCCCGACATCCTCGCATGGAAAAGCAGATTGGTCAACTCGATCGTCTGTATCAGCGAGTCGGCCGCGCTGGCGGCCGTACCGTCCGACGCAGTAGCATCCGGCGCGGCATCCTCGGGGGATTTTCGCAACGACGGCGGAATGTATTGGTCCAGCAGTGAGAGCCATGCCTCAGGGTTTTTCTCTTGCGGCCCCGGAACCGGACATCTCTTCATCTCTAGCTGAACATGCTTCTCGAGTAATCGGCGGTCGATCGGAGGCCTGGTGTGCGCGGAGAACGGGCGACTCCATTGTCGCCTCCCCGGGAAAGGTCTCCCGACCTGGCGGGCTCGTGGGAGTAGAGCGCGAGGGTGCGATATCGAAGGAGGAGGTGAGATGAACCTGCAGCCCAGACACGGCAGACGAGCTGGACCCAGGCACCTTTTCATGACACGACGGAGGATCTCGCGGAGGAGAGAAGCGGGCGGGGAGAATCCAAATGTCGAGATGGCCGGCGCACGGGATTTCTGTGGCGCATGTCTAATCGTTCAGCCGTAGTCGCATATCCTCTGAAATCACCGGGAAGGTGCAATTGAAAATAATATCCGTTATTCAAGGGGATGGTTTGCAAGAAGATGCAGTGGCAGCTTTCTGTCGATCCCGAAATCAAAAATCAAACCCGAAATTCACCGCAGGCGCGCCGTAATGAGTCAGCGTATCTGACCAATCAGGAACCGTCTGTTTTCTATACATCACAATCTACTTGATCCTACGGAGTAATTTCTACATCCATACGACCTGATATTTGGAAAAGTACAGTCTGTTCAGCAGTTCTTTCTCTAGTCACCCTCTAGATGAGATCATCATGTCTCTAAGCTAGCTAATCTGGCTATCATACACACGAGGGACCCAGTCACTACTACAAAGAACAACTGATCCAGCAGCAGTCCTCATCCATCATCCATCTCTCCTTGCAAAAGATGTCCAAGCAATTACAGAATGACCAGGTAATTCACCTAAGCATAGATGGGTCGGACCTGGCGGGGGTGGGACCGCTTGAACGGGAAGGCAGTGGCAGCCGGACCATTCTGAGCGTTCTGATCCTTCTGAGCGTTCTGATCCTTCTGAGCGTCCCGATCCCTCTGAGCGTTCTGGGCCATGCGGAACAACTCGGGCAGAGGAACGTCGCTCACGCTCGCGCATGGAGTCGACAACGTGAAGATAGAAGCCTTTGAGGGGAGAGGTCTGCTCGACGGAATAGGCGAAGGAGTAATGGAAGGCGTCACAGAAGGAGTGGGAGTGGCAGAAGACTGCAGGTCCGTTAGTGATCAATGTTTTCCTCCCGGGGTTTACTTATGCATTGATTGTGGACTGACCGCAGGGACGCTCGTGGCTTGACCTTGGCCTAAAGCAACAGCCGGGGCGACGCAGATGGCGACGACAGCTCCAATGACAGCAGAAATCTTCATGATGAATGTGGAATGAGTGGGCTGAAAGATTTGTTTGGAAGGAAAAGTAATTCGATGTGTATAAAGAAGGTAAGACGTTTTGTGTATGACTCCGCCAGGGAAAGTTGTGTGCACAGCACTACAAGAAGATAGAAACAAGAGAGAGAAAAGAGAAAGAATGTTGACTGGACGAAGACAGAAGATACAAATCCCCCCGGCGCATCGCGGGCTATTTATATGTGAATTCTACGCACCCTGAGAAGGTCATGGAGTATACGGAACTGATCTGTCTGGACTCTGGACCCCTGAAGCGACAACTGGGGTTGATTCAGACTTCAGTGGTTCAAAACAGGCCGATCCGAACCCCCCGTTTCCACTCGCCTCCACGAATGGGATATTAACCAGAGGTTCGCATTGTTGTTTGAGGGGGACAACAATGGTTCCTCATGGTCCAGTCCGGCAAAAAAGACCAGGGCCAAGATGATAGCTCCAACGCAGGTGGCCACTGATCGTCATCTCAAAGTGCCGGCTTCTGAACAGTTAAACCCCCGTTGTATCAGATGGGAGGGGCGGCTTTTGGGAGACCCGCAAGCTCAAGAGACCAATGGTGGGGTGCTGTCCATAAGAGGGAGGAAATCGGCGAAAGTCTGAGACCAGGGTGAGAAGACGATCGACCTGCGTCTCTCCCAATCATTTGCCTGTCCCTCACGATCGGCGGGTCCCGCCATGTTTCGTCGACAACAATGGATATCCAAAATTATCTATTATTGCCCCCTGCGGCTGATCTTTTTGCCCCCCTGGTCGTTTTGAATGCTGGTCTAGGCAAGGTATGGAGATATTTCGCTTCAGAGAGGTTCGTTCCAAATTAGGAAACACCGGGATATAGGTTGTTATCCAACGAAATCTAGGTCCTGAGTCAGTCTGCCATCGTGAGACAACCTAGTGATGGAGAGCCGTGACAACAGTGACCGGAGTGGAACTCTATGTACTATCTATTCATGGCATAGTTGGACTTTAATTAATATCGAAATGTGGAACAGTTATAGAATGAAAAGGTATCAAATATTCAACCAAACTAGACCGACAAAGAAGCACCCAAACATATTGGCATACAACATAAACCCAACCAAAGCTCCCTCGCGAAGAGCGCCGCAACAAGAGAGACACTGTCACTAGTCCGTAGGTTAGACCCAAATTGAGCCTTGAGACCTAGTTGTATGTGGCCAACTTGGATCTAGATCAACAAACGACCCCAAAGACAAAAAAAAAAAGAAACCCAAACCCTGAACCAAACTCCCTAACAACCGTCGTGAGTCATGACAATGATAGATGAAACCCCGATGGGCTTCAGAGCTCCTCCTCATCCTCTGCCTCCTCCATGGGCACATCTTCATTGGGCACCGTCTCACCACCAAGTTCTTGCTCGACCTCGTCCACGATGAAACTCTCGTAGTCTTCCAACCCCTTTTGGACGTGTACCTTGAATCGAATGACATCGTTCAACATGCTCTCCACGTTCGTGTGGAGCTCCTCCCGGAGGGTATTGGCCCGAAGCGTCAGCTGCTCATATTCAATGTTCGTATTCATCTCGCGTTGCTCCATTAACTGGACGCTTTCGCTCAGCGTAGCGCGCATCTTGGCCAGCTCCTTCTCCATCTTCTCAATCTGGGCGTCAGATGCAAGCTTTTGCGTCGTCGTAATCTCCTTGGTCCGCTCAAACTCTTCTTCGGCCGCGCGTCGTTTGTGCTCCAGAGCTTCGACCTCGCTGCGCTTCTCGTCCATGGCCTCCTTGATGTTGTCCAGGAGATTCCGTCGTTCCAGGTCCGCATCGATACCCCGTTCGCGGCGCTCGTTGATCTCTTTCCGAAGACCTTGGAGGTTGGTGCGGACCGCACCCCGGAGATCCAGGTTCAACAAGCGCGCAGGGTGATAGCCCACGTACGGCTCCGCTAGTAGTCGGTCCCCTTCCGGAGAGATCCGATTGAACGCGCCACCGTTCTGCGATGCTGAGAAGTTCATCTCATTCACGTTGAGCTCGAGTTCGTACTCATCGCCCTTGGCGTTGACCGCAGAGGAGGGGATCAGACTGTTCTGGTAGCCCAGGGTGTTGTAAAGCTTGACGACCTCCTCCAGGTCCTCAAGTCGCCGACTGGCTTCGGCCTCGATGGCCATGACACGGGAGTGCGTCTCTTCCAACCGGCCGGCCGTGTCCTCGAGACTCTTCTGAAGCCGCTCTCGCTCGGAGTTCATCCGGTCGATATCTTGGATGGTCAACCCCTGCTGATCGACTCGAGATTGTAGGCTGGCCCGTTCCTCCTCCGCCTCCTGTAGTTCGGTTTCGCTCTTTTGCAGCTCGTCGTTCAAAAAGTTGATGCGAGTGTTATATTTTTCGATCTTCCCCTGGACGTTCTGGTTGTACTCCTCGAACTTTCCTCGGTCGCCCTCCATAACCCGGAAGAGTTTATCGAGTTTGGCCAGGTCCGGAGCCGACTTCTCCATCGCCTCGACTTCGTCGCGTAGGGATCGATTGTGCGCCTCGAGCGTTTGCATTTCTTGCACATACTTCTCGTTGCCCTGCTCGAACTCCTGAGCCATGCTTTCAACGTGAGGCGCCAGCCGTTTCTCAGCAGTATCCTCCTCCTCCTCCTCCCCACCTTGTAGCCAATCATGGTATGCCCCAGTGAGGAAGCGGAAGATGATCCGATCTCCGGATATATCCACTCCCATCTCGGCGCACGCCTCGTCGTACTCTCCCATAACATACCGATCCATCATCTGGGCCAGTTGCATCAACCAGTGTAGCATCCCCAGGAACGTCGGCCAGTTCTGACCCCCAACAGCGGCGATTTGCGATTTGGTGATCCCCTTCTCATAGGGGTAGCGTAGCTGCTTTAAGATCGGTGGTACCTCAGCATCCATGGCTTTTTGGAACCGGTATCCGGGGTCGATGCGATGGTACAGCCATTGAAAGATGAAGTTAAAGTCCTTCTGCGTTGGTGATCGCAGAGTGTTCTGACCCAGGGAATGCTTCATCTCCAACTCGAAGTTATTGTGCGTGAGATATTCCAGGAGCTCCTGTCCAATGCGGGCCTGGAATGATCGATCTCGGAGAGGTCGTGGATCTCTCGGGACACCGGCGACGTTGGGAACTTGGGTGAAGAAAGATTGATGGCCCATTCCTATGCTCATGCCGCCTCCCCCCACTCCAGATGGCCGCGAAAAGACGCTACTTCTTCGTTGCAGACCCTGCGACGCCGGGTTGGATGAAAATGACCCCGGAGCATAGCTAGGACGACCACCACTGGCGCCATGGAACATATTGCTCGACACCGAGCGCCTGACTGATGAAAGGCCAGCCTCCGCGCCCAGGCCACCAGACGAGGAACGCTGGAAGTTTGGCTGCTGGGGACGACCGGAATTTGCCAGCGACATGGAGCGCATATTCTGAGAAGTGAATGGAGGGAGACCTATCGAGCTGGTGCGCTTCAGGGCTGACGACGGCTGCGGGATGGATGTATAATTCTGGACACTCCCCAACGTCTGCACCGCAGATTGTCAGTCAAATGGCACCGCCTGAGGTTACAAGAATAGAGCAAGATAGAACGCTACTATGATAAACTATGAAGAAAGAGGAAAGGGTACATACCTCTCGGGGACGCTTGATGCTGAACAATCCTGTGTCTTGCGACATGGCCGTTAAAGGAGCCGCAACTGCGGCGGGGAAAAAGGTCGCAAATACAAAAGCAGTAGGAGGGATCGCGTTGCACAAAGCAAACAATGAATACCAAAAAAAACAAGAGATCAGTCCGAGCCGAGATTCCGCGGGCGCGCGGGGAAAGACAGATGGAGGAACTGTCGTTGTTTGGGGGGAATAATGATGATTTTGACAGCCAGAGATGGATGTAAACAAGACATGCCACTTCCTGCTCGAAAGGGAAGGCGGTGTATGCTACCAAAGATAATGCACGTCTGATCCCGTGACTTTCATAGATAGCTGAGTCATCATAATCCCCGATCACGAGATCTGGGGTAAAGTTACATTACGGTAATTTACGCGGCGGAACATCCGAGGTTCATAATATTATTCAACTCCGGCTGCCGACCAAGTCACTCTCTCCATCTTTCCCCATCTTTTCTCCTCTCTCCTTCTCCCTCCTATCCTGCATATCCCCTCTTCTCGCCTCCCATCCTCTTCTAGCTATCCTCCATTGCGCCCCGTCTAGTGCTGTGGAGAGCTGTTCATCATGGCCCGTGAGGAAATCATCTCCTCTGCTGTAAGTACTGCGCCGTCGGTTGTTCGATCTGCGGAGTTGGAGCTGACCATCGTCTTTAATGACTAGGTGACATGTGCGTCTTGAAGAAAGCTTATCCCATCTCCCCTACGATCTCTAACATTCATGTAGTTCTTCAGGATCCGTCGGTAGCGTCTTCGCCGATCGAGAAGAGAGTCGCATTCCTTCAATCCAAGAACCTCACCCGAGAGGAGGTTGACATCGCTCTGTCACGAGTGGGTGAGGATCCAGCGGCCGCCGCTGCAGCATCCTCCGCAACAGGATACCAAGCCCCATCACAACAAGCTGTCTATCGACCTCCTCCACCCTCTGCCCAAGGCTATGGTTACCCCCCGTATGGCCAATGGCAGCCTCCGCCGGAGTAAGTTGTATTCCGTCGTCACATGTGAATTTGGCGGGCGCAAGCTAATCGCGCTGTCGGTAGACCCCCGAAACGGGACTGGCGTGACTGGTTCATCATGGCGACCGTGATGGGAGGTGTCGGATATGGGCTGTACACTGTTACCAAGGTTAGTATTTCGCCAGCGCACCGCTGCGGGCGCACCGTGGCACGCATGAGCTTGGAATTAACATATGATAAAGCGCTACGTTGCCCCTCTGATCGCGCCCCCAACTCCGCCACAACTCGAACAAGACAAGGAGAACATCGACGAGCAGTTTTCCAAAGCTTTTACTTTGATCGAGCAGCTCTCCACCGACACAGCGGCCCTGAAATCGGCCGAAGAGACGCGCACAGAGCGGTTAGACTCTGCGCTACGGGAGGTCGAGAGCCTGGTTGCCGACTTGAAGACTGCCTCCCGCCGGAGAGACGATGAGACCCGCCGTATCAACGATGAGATCCGATCGTTGAAGGATGCGATTCCCAAGGCCCTGGAAGGCGCCCGAGAAGGCAATGACAACCGGTTGAAGGAGCTTGGCACGGAGTTGAAGAGTCTGAAGACCTTGCTGGGCAACCGTCTCGGTGCCCCCAGTGCCGCCGCGCCCCCTGCTCTGGCGAAGTCCGCTACTCCTGCTCCCCTGCCGACTGCCTCGCGTCCCGTGGAGACATCGTCCCCTGCCACTGCTGCCCCGACCAACGGTGTTCCTGCGCCATCCGTTGAGCAGGAAACCCCGCAAGCCCCCGCGGCGGCGGCGGCGGCGGCCTCGGCCCCGAGCCCTAGCACCACCCCATCCTCGCAATTCAGCCGATCCGCTTCCATCCCCGCTTGGCAAATGGCCGCCGCCAACCGGTCCAAGGCCGCCTCCCCGGCCGCCGCTTCTCCGAAGGTCGAAGACGAGACCGAGCAAAAGAGCGCATAAGTCAGCTAGCCTGGTCTACCACGTTCCCGTTTTTCATTCCCACCAGCATGCATGATTGGTAGATTTCTTTTCTTTTGTTTTCATCTTATTAACGTCTGCATCTTTTTCATTTTTCTTCTATCCAATGTATTTACACCGGAGACCATGATTTTCAGCCAGAATGGATGATCACTGGAAATATTATATAATCTCACCTGAATTACATGGAAGGGGAAATCCTCATAAAAAAACGTAGCAATATATAACTAGCTGGCTATACAATGGTCGCCAACCCCCAACATGTGAAGTTTCTCCACACCCAAAGATGGAACAAAAAAGCTTGGCATCGCCATCTTCTTTCCCGCGACGTCAGCCCTCTCAATCCCAAGCCCACCGGCAACAACAACATCCACGCAACTCTCACCGACACCTTAAACGGAGCTCAAGAACAAGAAAGACCAATTCTAGAAGAGAAGATACAATGTCCACTACAGACCACCGCACCCGCCCCCACCGACCACCGAGTCCCTCCCATTCTCGCTCGCGCTCGCGCTCCCCAGACCGAGACCGATCAGCCAGACACTCCGACCCCAAACGACACCATCACCACCACCACCATCACCGTCACCACCACCGACACCATGATCCCGATCGTGACGAGGAGCGCCGCCGTCGTCACCCCCGACACAGTCACCGCTCCCATCGACGAGAGGATCCGCAACCACAACCGGAACCGCAACCCGTGATCCTCCCCTTCCAGGCTAGAGAGCTCTCAAGGCGCCATCTGCACCACTATGAGCCCCTGTTCGCCATGTACCTCGACATCCAGAAGGGGATAATTCTTGAGGATCTAGACGACGAGGAAGTCAAAGGGCGGTGGAAGAGCTTTGTTGGGAAATGGTACTTCTTATCCCATTCCTCCCCCATCTCCCAAAAGAGATAAATAAATCTAACATATCAGGAACCGCGGAGAACTCGCCGAAGGATGGTACGACCCTGCCATGCTGGACAGGGCGAGGAAGAGCGCGCAGGAGAACCCTCCTCCTCTTTCTTCCTCTCGTCGTCCTCCGCCCGCTTCGCGCAACTCGCCTGATTATAACCGCGGTGTCTCAGAAGGTGGAGAAGCCCCCGCACCAGAAGGGAACAGAATTGGCGAAGACGAAGGAGGCGACGATGACGACGACGACGAAGACTACGGCCCTAGTTTACCGCGCTTTGATCCTCGAGCGCGCGGTGGCCCGTCCTCTGGCCCGACTATTCCCACGATGCAGGACCTTGATTTGCGGAAGGGTATGTCGCTCACTCACTCATTACCTTCCATTCTCCCTTCCTTCGATCTCGCCATACAATGATATCGAGTTACACATCCATCAACAGCAACCAACTAACACGGTTGAACTAGAATCCGCCCGCGAAGACGCCCTAGAAGCACGCCACGACTGGCGCAAAGAACAACGCTACGAGAAGCAATCCCACCGCGCCGAAATGCGCCACATCCAAGACGAAGTGGCACCGCGCGCAGAACCGGGAACGCACGAGCGACGGATGGAGAAGCGGGCAGAGAACGCCGCGGCGAATCGTTCTTTCGCGGAGGGCCGAAGGGGTGGCTCTCCGACGGAGGGGATGCCGGATGATGAGTTGATGGGGTCTGGAGAGAATGAGCTGACGGCTATCAGGAAGGATAGGGAGAGAGAGCAGCGGAAGAAGAATGATCGGGAGATTCGGCGGGAGGAGATTATGCGTGCGCGGGCGGCGGAGCGAGAGGAGAGGGTTCAGCAGTATCGGCAGAAGGAGGATGAGACGATTGGGTGGTTGAAGACGCTGGCGAAGCAGCGGTTTGGTTGAGTTTGGGTAAGCGCATCTATCGAAGTTACTGTTAATATCCGATTTTTCGCCATTTCCGCCGTGTATACCCTCAGACGTTACTATCACTTTTTGCACCGTGGCTAGGTGTCTAGGCATGTGGTAAATAAGATGAAAGATGTTCTGATTCCATTCTCTACAGATACCATAGTAAAGGTTACTCGAAATGAAGCTGCCAATACTCGCCTCCATATCTGCACAGACCAATCTACACGTACACCTGGGCTCCTGGTAATGGTACTGACTGAGGCCGCGACCCGGCGACCTATTTCCAGTTGGCTGTCCATATCATTTCGTCAAGACTCTCTTGCTGAAAAGGGAACGAATATCGGTGCATCAGGCCTCCATATACCTCTTCCTATTCTCGACACCTTTGAGTCATGTGCAGCCGGATCGTTCTCATGACGATATAGGGTCTCGTTCACTTGTGTAGGTTTGTTGTATTTGAGTTGTGATCTGGCAATCCCTCCCAGTGGTAGGTTCTCGAGAGATCTAGTGCCTTCATTTCCATAAGTCGCTAACTTATTTGGATATGAATGTTTCGTGTGAGATGTTGGACGTTTCCTTCCTACCCCTCGTGACCAAAGAGAGTAGTAATGGCCACCTATTGACATCAAGGAAGCGTGAGTACCTTGTTCGACCACTCTTCCATGGCGAAGAACCAATATGTGATCTGCATGGGCGATGGTCGACGGTCGATTTCTAGTAGAATGTGTCAGCTACAATAAATTGAACGGTCGATTGTGCGCAATACTTACGATGCTATTAGTACAGTTCGACCGGGGAATAGTGCTTTGATATTTCGCAGAATTCTGGATTCTGTCCTGCTGTCGACGTTGCTCGTTGGCTCGTCCAAGATGGCTATCTTGCCAGCGTTGACAATGACGCGTGCTATGGCAAGCCGCTGAAGCTCACCGGTGGAGAGTCGAACTCCTCCTTCGCCCATTATCGTCTTGTAGCCCATCTTTAACGAGCCGATTGAGTCATGCAGGCCGACAGCGCTGCACGCCTTGTAGATTTCCTCATCTTGGACGGAACTATTCGCATATCTCATGTTGTCCATGATGGTGTCGTGGAACCAAATCTCTTCCTGTGGCGCTACCCCAATGTTGGCCCTTAGGCTTTCCACAGTCACCTGCTGGATATCCAGCCCGTCGATCAATATTTTCCCGTGCATCGAGTCGTAAATGCGTAAAAGAAGCTTCAATGTTGATGATTTGCCACTTCCTGACTCCCCCACCAGTGCTACAGTCTGACCAGAATGCACCTTAAAATCAAGTCCGCTGAGGAGTTCTTTCTGCCCACAGTGACCGAAAGAGACGTCTTTGAATTCGACAATACCTTGGTCGACAACTAAGGTTTTGGCATCCATCTCGTCTCGAAACCCGGGCGCCTGGTTCAAGTACTCTATGAGGCAATGAGTACTGCGAAACGATGTAACGAAGGTGCGGAATGCAGTTGGAAGGAACTGCAGCTGGCTAGGAACCCGGAACCAGAAGAAAAGCAACATGACGAGCATTTCGGTGGACATCCTATTAATATTAAATTGATGCAGGGCCCAAAGGCACCAGCCCACGAGGCCCGAAGCCAGCAGACATGAATGTATCACGGACTCGACATTAAACCACAAAAGAAGACTAGAGCAGGATTCCCATTGATCGTCAATGATAGTGTGAAATTCTGCCCTTTCGTTCTTGAATCGACCAGGAAAGAATGGAAGTTTCCAACTTGTAATCGAGGTGCGCACAAATAGTCGCTCGTTCGACAATGTCTCAAGGAATCGTGCCTGAGTGTCATAGATCCTACAGTGAATCATTGTCGAGGTAAACACCATAAGGCTGATGACCGTGAGATAGATCAGCCCTATGTAGAAATCTGCGGCAAATGTCAAGCCTATTCCGGCACCTAGCTCGATCAGTGCCGGGTGGACATGGAAAAGGAATGACTGGATAGTAGTGTTGAGAGTGTGACCTAGGTGAAGCTCCTCCCGAAGCTGTTCAGGCTCACCAAATTCGTCAGGGTTCTTTGACTCCACTAAAGCCATACCGAAGAGGGAATTTCTAAACTTGGAATCGTAGAATTTTCCAAGTGGATGCCACATCCTTCTCCGGGCCAGTGAGACACCACCACGCGAGTCCAAAAACCACAGGCCACCGAGTTGTATCACTTGATTCCATACGACTGTGCCTATACATGCGTTAGTGAGAATACAAGATAACGAACAAGGGTGCCACTGTACCTGGTGCTTGTAATTGGGCGTGGACAAGGCGTCCTAGTTGATATGGGACATATACAGCCAAGCCACACTCTATGTACAAACAAGCGATTACTCCGGCCCATAGTAGTTTCAATTTGGGTTTGTCCCGAGGCCAAAAAAAGGACCAAAAAGTCTAGCGTCCGATCAGTCTCTAGCCGGCTTTTTTAAGCAAATAGTAGGGATCACTCACTTGGCTAATGAAGTTTCTAGGGTTTGCTTGCTTTGATAGGCGTATCCTACTCTTCAAATCTCTCTTTTGGGCAGGGAAAAGTGTACCGTAATCGACGGTGCCACTACTTCCATAAGAAGGCCCACCCTCACATGGTGCGCTTTCGTTTAAGAATGGCAGTCGTTCCTCGTGTCGTTGATATCCGAGAAGCACATATTGGAAACCACCAACAACACTAACAAGAAGAGCGAGCATACCAAAGCGGATATCATGAATGACAGCTATGATGGTCGCGAGCTCCTTCGTTGAAGGTGAAGTCCGAGAGGTTGAGACGAACGACAGAATCTCTACCGACAGATACAGCGTTGGAATTCCTGTGAGACACGCTGACGGCAAACTTGCTGCTTCGAAGGGATCTCCTGTGAGATATAACCAAACGATTGCCGATGTGGTCGTATAAAACTGGCAAACCCAACTAATGATTAACGTCAAGTACATATCACTTCCCTCGTGCTGGACGAGGATGACACGGGATCATACAATACAACCCATCGAAACCATTGCTCCAGTTTGCAACGAAACATAAATGAGGAGGGCAGAATCCAAAATCTGAAACCGCATCAGCCACATGGTAAATGTTTTATGGGGATATATATAGGACATCATACAAATGAAACCAGCACGATTATTCTAATCCATACTGTGACTTCTCTGATGAATTTCTTCCAATAACTCTCGTAGTGTCTGTCTCGTATTTGTCCTGGTATAAGTAGACTGACGGCGTAGTATATGCCAGTGGCAATCGGTAGGAGAAAATGGAGCACTAGGAGTGGATGGGAGTCATCCTTGGTGACCAGCATCTTGACTACTACCAACAGAGTCAACTGATATATGACAAGGATCAAAAAACGAAGGGAAAAGAAGATGGGCGTTGGAAAAGGGAGCCAAGATAGGTGAAGGGGAGACTGGACGGTTTAACAGATCAATTACATGCGCGTATAAAGGACAGTCGCCCAAGATGGAAGGACCATAGCACAACTACTTTCGGAAGTCTCTCAGAAAAGAAGGTCTAGTACTTTAGGAAGGAATGACCAGTGAAGTCAATATTGATTGTCTTTTATACAGCAAGTCTAATTTAACCTGAAAAGCAGTACTTTTATATGCCATCGGAGGACCTCTCTCTATCCCGTTGTCCAAACCTCCAACTCCCATTTATGCCCACACTGTAACTCCAAACCCAGGACTTTTTATATCCACTAGTTGTCTTCGTTTGTTTAGACCTAGATCTTCCTCCCCAGGTCCACGTCGGCAATCAGTCTCATGTTCTCATTTCCATCCGCTGCCGATTGTCCCAGGCCAAAGAACGGCTTGACGGCAACATCGACCGTCTCTTCAAAAAGACGGCCCACGACGACCTCTTTGAGATCCTCTCCAGTTTGGCCAAAATCCGGGTACGCATTCACCTCAAGCAACCAGGCAGTGCCATTTTCGTCGACGAGGAAGTCCACCCCAAAGAGCTCGAATGCATTCGGGAGCGTTTGGAAATGAATCATCATACCCCTCGCAGCCCCTTCGAATAGCTCACCGGTCACGGCACAGATCTGATCGAAGATCTTCTCCTTCCAGTCATCGCTGAGCCCAGGGACCTGGGAATCCAGGTCCCAGAAGCGTCGGACACTGCCCTCGTTGGAGCTCCCGCCCTCCTGGAAGCAGGTGTTGGTGAGATGTCTTGCCAGGTCCTGCATCTCGTCCTCTCCCTCCCATGGGGCGCAGTATGATTTCGCCGCGAAAAGGGCCAGCATCTCCTTGAACACGAAGACTTTGAGGGCTCCGACGGCAAGAACGTAGGTCCGAATGTGGAATTTCCGATTCGACGACGACGGGAGAAGAAGCGGCGGGTCGATATAGGGCTGGGCGATAAAGTGCCGCAGTTGGGACGTGACCACCCCATGATCATCATCCTCTTCCTGCTTATCCTGTTCAGGCGCCCCCGATCCGCTCTCATCATCCGACTCATCAACCTCCCATTCTTCGAATATCTCCCGTAGTTGGTCTTCGCTGTTGAATATACGGATTCCCTGGCCGCGGTCACTCATTCCCGGTTTCAGGATCCACCATTCCTTCTCCTGTTCAGGTCTTTCTTCGTTCTTTTCTAGACTCTCTCGCAGCTCGTACAGCTCCAGCAGGGCGTCGTCAAGGAACTCTGCGTAGTCCAGCTCGAAATCCAATGCAGGCTTGATGTGCTTTTTCAAGATGCTGTCGGGGTGTTTCGTAATCCAGGTCGACACCGTGTTGGACAGGTAATGTTTGCGAATCAATGCCTTTCGGATGATATAGGCGTTGGAAAGCGACGAGGGGCTGTGCATCATTATGTGTTCGAAATCCAGTCGCTCATATTCTCGGTACTGAAAGACAGGCGTAGAAGGGGACGGTAGGTCTGACAGCGACGGTACCAACCGACACGCTGTCCCAATGCGCCGCTGCAATGCTCGTTCCATTAAGCTCTGGACATATGGATCGTCACTGTCCACGACAGAGTATAATGCAGGTTCTTCATTATCGGTTCTACATGATATATGCTATCAGAACACTGGCCTCTCAAAGAACGACAAACAAAGCAGTCAAAGGTTGCAAAGGGTAAACAGGAGTCAAACGCGCAGCGTGTATCATCTAGCATATGTATCTATGAAGGTTCGTGCAATCTGACGCTCCACAAGGGGCCATGTTGTCCCAACTTTGCTCGCCGGAAGTCCACTCACAGCTTAATTTCCCCTTGGATACCGGGTGTGTGCATGAAATTCGCCTTCAACGGGGTGACACTGCGCCGAGTTAGCCATGCCATGCGGATCATTTAAGTATCGTGTAGACATACCTCGTCATCCCCTCCTTGACGACCCATCCGTCATTTCCAGGAACACTCTCCTCAACGCTTCGATACACATCCGAGAAATTCGGCGACCACTGGAAGTGCTTATGCTCGATGCGTGACTTGTTCGCGGGAGCTCGACGTTTGGAGCTCTCAGTCTCTGCGTCCCCTAGCTTCTCACCCTGAGCCCGTAACTCTTGCTCATGCAGATCAGGAGACTCGGTCATCCCCGGGGGCACAGCCTGGAAACAGCTACCGGAACTCCATCGGTTGTCGAGCATCGCAGTATATAAAACCTTGTTCTGGCTCACTCCTGGCTCCAAAGGCACGTTGACCGTGTAGAGATCAACGCCCTCCTTCCAGTTCTTGGATAGATACTCGATCAATTTGACTGAATGGCGCGATGCCTCGGAAATCACGACGGGGTCGTGGTCGCGCGAGCTAAACGCGTAAGAGAGGGCCACCGCACGCTTTCCGCAGCTCGCCGCTTCCATGGCGCCACCGATCGTTCCACTCGACAGAGCGAAAAGAGCTAGTGCCATTAGCAAAGATTCATTTTATACCAACCGACCCCAAAGTGCGCCAGTGGGAGAACTGAGAGACCAACCTGTCGAGTTCCGTCCGTAGTTGGGTCCCGACACCACCATGTCGATGGGGCCACGCTCCTGGAAGAAGTGGTAAAGTCCGATTTGGACACAGCTGGCCGGAGTCGAGTCAATGAGAACCCACTCGTCACCCTCCTCGTCGTCTTCTCCATCTATATGCCCTCGAGGGAAGTCGTGGGTCGTCCCGTCGTCCTTGTGAAGTGTTCCGGGGCGGAAGTACGTCGGTTTCACGGCGGCGCCGACCAGATGGGCTTTGCCAATCCACGACCGCTGTACATGTGGGAGAACAACCGAAACGACATGGCCGGCAGACTGGAGCGATTGGACGAGGGAATGGACGTAGGGGGAGGACTGGTTCGACGGAGGACCGTCGTCGTTTGTGACCTAAGATTGTTACAGATCGACTGGTTAGAGGACACGACTATGTAGATTGTTGGGTTGCGCAAGGTCATCTTAACTCACTAGGATATGCATTGGCGCGTGAGTTTTCCGAAAATTAGGTGGGAAAGGTGAACAGTAGAGAGATAGAAACGACCGAGTGAACCATCATAGACAAGTTAAGATCCGTTAAGTCGAGAGGGGCAGCGGAAGTTGGGCGGAGTTTTGCCCCGCCTTGGGG